GTTGGGGGGAGGTTGGTAGATGGGTTGGGGGGAGGTTGGTAGATGGGTTGGGGGAGGGGGGAGAGACAGAGAGGGCTCGGATTGTTTTGAGTGATATCCAACCTTCAGTGGAAAGTTTGGTGTGTTTGTGCGCACAGGCATGCCATACGGAGTGAAGGCCTCCAAACGAAAGAAGTCCACGTAATGTAGGGTTACAAGACGTTGTGTGGACTTGCACATGTCCACACAGCATTTTTTTCCCTCTCTGAAAAACAGCTTCGGAGGCAGTCTGAGGTCAGGGTTATCTTTGGCAAAATGAAGAGGAAAGGTCCAAAAAATAGTTAGTCCAACTTGAAGGAGTTAACGTAGTGGAAGGAAAAAGAGTATTTTCCCCCGATGTTTGTAACCACAGGAGAACAAAGGAGTGTCCACGCTAGGTACATGGAGCAAACATGCATATGGGGGGAGGGCCTCCCATGATCATCGACGGGTTTGGGCCGAGGAAACCCAGTGTCAGAGGATCAGGATCTGATAGAAATGTTCTTTAAAAGCCTGATGGGTTGTTTCTGTTTGCTGTGAAGAGTGACGGGAGTGAAAGTAAGGTACAGATTTTTTTTCTGTCAATGTAGGGCTTGAGCAAGGGCCCCTTCCTGATCAGCGCCCCCTTGTCCACCATTGTCAACTGGGAGAGGGAGTTTGAATTCTGGGCGCCAGACTTCTACGTGGTCACCTACTGCGGTGACAAGGACAGCCGAGCCACTATTAGGTATGAGAGCATTCTTCTAGTCAGTATAGTTTGTCCTCAGACAAAGTTGCCAAATCATCTTAATAGCCATCAGCTTCCCCCCCTCCCCGAAGAGTCAAATGAAGGAATTTCTGTGAGATGACTGTACCCCTGAATAGGACTGTGCTCACAGCCCAAGTGGCGCAGGAACTTCTGCAGGCCGCAACTGCTACAAACCCACCAGCATTCAGTCACTGTGTCTGCAGCATTTTAGATAGTAGGTCCTTGCCACTTTATTTCACGAAGTGCGCAGTGCCCAAGTTCAGTTGAAGTGTAAGAATTCAAGGGTTACAGTGGATTTGGGGTGACTTCAGGTAGCTTCTGATCAGGTTGAAATGAAGAAGGAATCTCTCCACTGTAAAAATGGCACAGTTTTGTCCTTTCAGAGGACCCATTGAAGGAAGCCAGGTGTGCACTGGCTGACTTGTAAGAAATGGCACTGTGCATGCAACCAGTTTTCAATTGAATGTGTACAAAACTTTTTTTTTTCAAGAGACCAGTGCTCCTTACTGTGCTGTTGCACTGTGAAACACACATAAGCGGTCTACAGTAACATGCCTCTTCTGCAGTTCCTACCAAGCCAGTGGTTACTTGGCCATTTGGTGCTGCAATTCATTGGGGCCTCGTTACAGAGCCAAACCTAACTTAATGCTGTCTTGGAACTTGTCTTTCTGCAGAGAGCACGAGTTCTCCTTTGAGGAGGATGCCGTGCGCGGAGGCAAGAAGGCCTACCGGATGAAGAAGGACAGCGTGGTGAAGTTCCACGTTCTGCTGACGTCTTATGAGCTGGTCACCATCGATAACACCACCCTGCAGTCGGTAGACTGGGAGGTCCTGGTGGTGGATGAGGCTCACCGACTCAAGAACAACCAGTCCAAGGTAAAAATGCAGAATGACCTTCGACCCCAAACCGATGTGAGTGTGACACTGCATGAGCAGATGCAAAAAGCGGAAGTTTGCCAGAGGTTGCTTCAGATGATGCCGGCCTTTGCATAAACCAATTCAGCAAGCCTTGCCCACTGTGCACATTGGCAGTTAGCCATGTAATCCTTTCCCATGCCACACTACACATCACAGAGTTGGAAGCCATCTTGGATTCCTGTGCACACATGCCAGTCTGAAATCGCGGCTAGGATCGGTCAGAATACTGCAGAGCAGAACTTAATGGCTTAGCACATTTTTTGCAGCTTTGTGGAGGTCAAGCCCAGAACTAACTGTATTCCACATCTCGTTTGCTCAATCCAGTTCTTCAGGATCTTGTCGCAGTATTCCATCGGCCACAAGCTGCTGTTGACTGGTACCCCGCTACAAAACAACCTAGAGGAGCTGTTCCACTTGCTCAACTTCATGAGCTCAGATGAATTCTCGTGAGTTTCACTCTCGAAGCAGTTCGTATTGGTAAAAGTATGGTATTGCCCCTGGTGCACATGAGCAGTTATAACAGATGGCCATTCCTGTTAATGGTCAGTAGTGGAGTTTTGGTCATTTGTTGCCTTCTTGAGCAGCTTGGACCAGCGTTGTAGTTGAGACCATCACAAGACCAGACACTAGACCAGCCACAAGACCAGTCACAAGTAATAGGGTGATCAGTGACAAACGAATGCTTTTGTTTTAGTTCATTTGGATAGCTTTTAACTTCATTTCAGACTGGAGGTCTTGTGTTCATCTTGTGCTGGTCTTGTGTGGTCTTGTGAAGGTCTTAAGTGGTCTCGACTACAACACTGGCTAGGATTTTGAAATCTCTTCACTATTACAATGTCACAAGCTTTTTTTTTGGTGGAATGCAGTTAATGTGTCCTTGCTAGTAGCAGTTCACAGGCCTGATTTTTACTATTGCTGATACTCGGAGTTTATTGGAAACGTTCGTGTCCCTTCCACAGCAATCTGCAAGTGTTCCTGGATGAGTTTGAGGACATCTCCAAGGAGGACCAGATCAAGAAGCTGCATGACCTGCTGGGTCCTCACATGCTGCGTCGTCTGAAGGCGGACGTCTTGAAGGGCATCCCCTCCAAGAGCGAGTTCATCGTGCGGGTGGACCTCAGCCCCATGCAAAAGTATGTCCTCAATCCTTCTCTAGTGTCCTCATACCCTCATCTCAGTGTCCTCGCACCTCTTTGTTTCTGCACACCTTCCTCTCTGGCATCCTCACACCCTTCTCTCTATGACCTCATTTTATCAGAGCTCATGGATTGTCATCCTTGAAAATCTCTGATAGCCTACTTTTTCTTTATAAGAGATGTGACTGATCATGAAAGACCACAGCTAATATTTTTCGTCTTCAGAAGAAAAATCTTTGTGTAACACTTAGCAAGAGGTAGTACTCCAGATTTATGTGCGGATGTTCTGTTTGTGCAGAAATTTGACCTGTCACCACAAAATGAGCTGAACGTCAAAATTTTCATTGAGATATCGGTATATTTGAATTCAGTAGCAGAAGAGCTGTCCCATGGCATGCACATGGAAAACTAAGCGTAAAAGTATAAGGTGACAATGTGGCATTATTCTGGTAGCTTTCTGTCTTTGTTCCCAACATTGTTTCAACATTTTGACTAGACATGAATAATGCTATCGTCAGAATTGCTGAGAAAATGACTTTTTTAAATATATGATCCTGCGAAATATTTGGAATTTAATGAGAGATAGGTTTCTCTTTCCAACTATTACAAAACCAAAATTTGACCTCCACTTCAATTTGACTTCAAACCCTCAAAATAGGAAAGAGTGGGATGCAACTTTACTCCCATTTTGTCATGACAGGTCACAAGTGGGTTTTGTGATGTCCATCAGATAACTTCCCATCCTAGACATCAGTTAAATTCGGCATATTCAAGGACTCCTATTATATCTGTGATCGCATAATATGTGCACAAATAGCATCGGGCACGCCGGTACCATTTGAGAATGAAGGAGTGAGATTAACACAGAACCAACCTGCCCCCCCCTTTTTTTTTTACGCATACTTAATCGTCGCAGGAAATACTACAAGTACATTCTGACCAGGAACTTTGAGGCCCTGAACGCCAAGGGCGGAGGCAACCACGTCTCCCTTCTCAATGTCATGATGGACTTGAAGAAGTGCGCCAACCACCCGTACCTGTTTCCCACGGCTGCAATGGTAAGGCAGTGGTCACATTTTTGTGAAAAACAGAGAAAAACCACGTTGGCCAGTACCTCATAAAAGTGACTGGTTTGGAATGCATGTGACAAGGCAGGAATATTTTGTTCCTCTTGGAACAAATAAATGGAAGAGGCACAGTGGGTTTAATCACCACTAGCTGCCGTGTGGTTTGAAAAATGCAGTGCACGTAAGCGGGACTTTTCCAAGATTTTCAGTTTTCAAAATTCTTCAAAAATTCATCATTTCAATTAATGGACGTTTACACCCACATGAATTACTGTCTGGTGGCCACTCTAGTCTGACAGACAAATCTATTGACGCCCGAGTATTTCAGCCAAGCCTGCAGCCTTGTAAAAAGAGCCCGGATTGTGCGGTGTCATGTAACTTTCTTTTGTTCACCAACCTGGCACAGTGCACTGCTGACCTCTTTTCTATAGGGGCCAGATTAGCGTGCAGCAGTTCTGTGTGGCTCGTTGCTGCTGAGGTGGAGCGCTTTTGTCCCCGGTAGTAATCCGCTCGTTCTAAATGCTCCCAAACTGTGGTATACTGTTTCAAAACAAGGCTGGATTATTTCCACTATTGAGAGTGAAAAAATGTTGGTAATGCCCAGTTCCCTTTGTCCCATTTCAGGTTCCCCGGTTCCGTGTATAAAGCCTACGGGCCCCCCGGCAGCAAGTGGTTAAGCTGGATTCAAACTAAACCTTAATACCAGAAGTACAGTGTCCAGGGAAAAGCAACTGGGCCATTTTGACCAGTGGAGAGATACAGTATGAAATTGATAATCCACGGCGGTGTCTTTTTTTTTCCCCATTGTGTGTTGCAGGAGGCACCGCGCATGGCCAACGGCGCCTTTGAGCCCCGGGCACTGGTCAAATCCTGCGGCAAGCTCATGCTGCTGGAGAAGATGCTGGAAAAACTCAAGCAGGAGAACCACCGAGTACTGATCTTCTCCCAGGTGAGTAGCGCCCGACTGGAGGGAGTCCACGGCCATTAACCCCTTCACGCCGGGAATCTTTTGACCGTGACTGCTGGACTGTGGTATGCCCAGTATGCAAAGCTATGTCCATCAGCAGGCCCCATTGAACCAGCAGCTGCGTGGTGAATAGACTGTATGTGTGGTATGCACTTATCCTCACACAAAGCCGCGGCTCTCGCCGTCTCTCGCCGTCTCCCGCCGTCTCCCTGAGCGAAGTGGTTAATGGGCCCAGTCTATGTCTCTACCCCCTCCCCCAACCTGAGAAGTCATTTTACTGCATAATAATAGTTTCGGACCATCGTCAAATTCATAGATTTCTTTTTTTTTTCTGGCAGGGTTTGAATTGTTTATTTTTGGATCTCAACTCTGGGTCGCAGTGCCACTGCCAATCTCAGGCCTCAGGCCAAGTTTTCTCTGTTGGGGGAGGGTGCATAATGCAAGTCTTGGGCGTTAGAGTTTGGAGTTTTCCAAGACTTTGGAGTCTTGGACAGTGATTCAGTGCCTCGCTCAAGTTGTCTCCTTTTATCAAGAACAGAGCTTGAGATGGAAGTATTTTGTGGTAGTATTTATCGGGAGAAGTAAATAATTGATCATTGTAACTTTTGGCATTGGGCTTTACCCTGTCGATTGATTGGTTGCAAAACAGATGACAAAAATGTTGGACATTCTGGAGGACTTCCTAGAGGGCACCGGCTACAAATATGAGCGCATTGATGGTGGCGTCACCGGTAGCCTGCGTCAAGAGGCTATAGATAGATTCAACGGTAAGAGAAAAAGGAAACGTACCATAATTACTGGCACGGTTTTATTTAAATCAAAAATGAAGTACAGAGGCTTCTGTATTACATATGTTTATAAACATCTGAGAATTTGGCATGATGACTAAAATGTCCATGTCACTCTAGAGTGACCCCTGATCAGCAATTGCCTGATAAGCATGTTCAGTTGAAATACTTTATTGGATTAAAATGGCACTCTGCCAAAATTAAGTGGTCATAAGAAAGGAATCATTTCAATACTCAACTGATATAAATACTTCCACCACGGACAGAGTTTTGAGTGGTCAGAGATATTGAAGATGAAAACCTCAGGGTTATAAACTCAGTGCTTGATCAGTGAGCTTAAGTCACCTCAAGTTTCTAACGTCCCCCCTCCCCGTTTTTTATTTCCTCTTCTCAGCTCCTGGTGCGGAGCAGTTTGTGTTCCTCCTGTCCACCCGGGCTGGAGGGCTGGGCATCAACCTGGCCACCGCCGACACAGTGGTCATCTTCGACTCGGACTGGAACCCCCACAACGACATCCAGGCCTTCAGCCGCGCCCACCGCATCGGCCAGGCCAACAAGGTCATGATCTACCGCTTTGTGACGCGGTTCTCCGTGGAGGAGAGGATCACGCAGGTTGGTAACTTGCCGGCGACTCGTCTGGAAAAATGGCGTCTTATTTGTCGGTGTGAAGTTTTACTTGTACCACGTCCTAACGAAATGAGTTATTCATAAAAGGCGTTTACTCTTCCACTGAAAATTAGAAGGGACCTGCAACTTGTTGAATCCACATAACATTAATTTCCACCAGGATGTTGATTTTATTGATACATCAAATCAAATGATTTACTTGGCTCTTTCAAGTGCAAACTGCCTCAAAAAATACTGAAAAAGAAATGGCCTTGAGACTCTTTTTTTTGGTAATTCGGTCAATTATGAGTTATGACCGGCCAATAAATCTACTGTCGTGAGAAAGCAGAAATAGTTTGGTTAAAGAACGAGCCACTCCACCTGACATGGACTGACAGCAGGTGTGACTCATGAGTCGAACCTTCATGATGAGAATGGATCTCACCTGTTTGGAACTTGCATTTCAAATTAATGCCTGCCGGTTTGAGTCAAAGTTCAGCTGCTTTAGACCGTGATGGATAGCGGGTCAGCTCGACTTTAATAATCCATACCTTCCCCCCCCCACCCCCCAGGTGGCCAAGAAGAAGATGATGCTGACCCACTTGGTTGTTCGGCCTGGCCTGGGTTCGGCCGCCAAGGGTGCCATGTCCAAGAAGGAGCTGGACGACATCCTGAAGTTTGGCACCGACGAGCTGTTCAAGGACGAAGGCAACCAAGGTAAGAGCCCGGCCACATTTGAAAGTCACGGCTGCGGCTGGAAATAACATGCCAGCCTATGGAAAGTCACTTGCTTATGGCTGCAGTCACTTCCAACAGACGCCTGTGTTTGTCCAAGTCACAGCCTGTCATTTATTACTTAAAACATGCTCCCAGAAAATTACTACTTAATCAGTTTGTCGAGTAGGTAAGCATTCTGTTGTGTACCATTTTTTTTTGGCCAAGACGAGGGCAATGAGGGCACGATCACCTGGGATGACCGGTCAGTCTCGGAGCTCCTGGACCGGACCAAGGAGGGCATCGAGCAGAAGGACATGGCCGACGACTACCTCAACTCCTTCAAGGTGGCCAGCTACGTCATCAAGGAGGAAGAGGAAGAGGAAGAAGAGGTGAAAGGAGAAATGGACAGGGATGCTGGGAAATCCCGGGGCGGGGGGGCAGAATTGGGAATGGACATCATGCCGCAGTCGTTTTCTTTTTCTGATGAGTCTGATGTAAATTCTCGTCTCACCGCTAGGTGAGCCCGATGCTGCTTCTTTCATAGCATTTGGTGAGCGGTGGAGACGTAGAGAAAAAAGTCCCCACTGGCCACATTTAGGTTGGGGCTCCAGCAGACTTTGGCATCCCAATAAAGGCTTGGCCAGACAAAAGGTTTTTTTTCTTATCTTCAGCAGTAATAAATTAAAGTTTGAATTATTCTTTCCCATTTTTTTGGAGCAGAAAAAAGGAGTTCTCCTCCAAATGTGTGACCTTGATGTAATTCCAGCGTGTCTTCCTTTCTTTTGGCCAACAGGAGGTGGAGACGGAGGTCATCAAGCAAGAGCTGGAGCCTTCTGACCCGGCCTACTGGGAGAAGCTCCTGCGTCATCACTACGAGCAGCAGCAGGAGGACCTGGCCCGCACCCTGGGCAAGGGCAAACGTATCCGCAAGCAGGTCAACTACAACGACGCCGGGCAGGATGACTCAGGTGGGCTGAGAGGGAAGGGTATGTACACGCTGACCAAATCTCCCCCCAACACCCACACAGCCCCCATTGCCCCCCTCTCCTCCTCACATCCAAACCGACTAACCGTCACTGCCCCCGATCCAACAGGTTTGTAGACCACTATCGCCCAGTTGGCGTTGAGCTACCACGCTTGAAATACTGCAGGCCTGATTAACTTGCTGGCCTCAAATTTCAGTTGCGAAGCTAGCTTCAAATACTACAGGACAAGTTCGAGTGATGGTGACACTGATAGAGATTTCACTGGTAACCTGTGCACGACGTGTACAATGGGTGCCGGGCAAAATTGACGAGGTGTTGACCAGTCGCCTCTCTAACTGGCCCATTAATATCACACAAGTTATTTTGTACCGGTATCCTGTTATTTTGCTGAGCGATTATCTACATTGTCTGGCCTCATTTTGCTGGGTGGTGGGTCCACAGAATTAATACCAAGGCTATTTGTGCAAAGAGTTTGGCCTGCCTTACCGTGAAGTTACCCATCACTTGCAAACCTCAGAGGTATGCAAATTGGCAAATTCTTAATTGATATGTACCCGCCATTAATACCCAAATCCATTCAGCCCTGTTAAATTGTCTGAAAACTTTTGTTCCCAACACTAACAGCTTGGAAATTGTTACTTGAATTACTTTTTCCAAGAAAAGAAAAGGACAACCTAGTAAGCCATGTCTCAGTGTGTCGTCCAGTCAGGTAGATTACAACACCAATATCATATGCCCAACTCTGGGTATAGACTGAGGTGGCCAAGATTGCAGGAAAAAGGGACTCGTGTAGGAGGGAGGATCTTCCTTCTGCAGAATTCGACTGTTCCAATGTTTGTTTGCCGCTCAGGATAGCACAGTGCTCCCTTTTCCTGACCGGGAGTTGGGGGAGGGAGGGGACGAGATATCACCCCTACTCCTCTACCTTCCCCCTGCTCTTTTCCCTTCTTGAATTGGAAGAGGTAGGGGGAAGGAAAAGTCCCCAGTCCATTCAACCATTGTTTCATCTGCCGATCTCTCTTCCTTGAATGCTCCTCACAAGCCTTGAGTTTCATGCCAGTGGATGTCCACGAGAACGTTCTGTTCTTAATAAGTGTCTGTCTGTCAGATCCTCCTCTGCATTGACGCAGTGGACATTAACACTGAGCAGAGCCGATTGGAGTGTGCATTATTATTGCTTTGGCAAAACGGTGTTGAACAAAGATTGATGGGTTTCCCCAGAAATTGAAGGTTCTTCCTTTATATCTCTCCATTGATGGCATAGATTGGACTTGAATCTGTCGCTTTTTAAGCAGTGACTTTTTCAGGCCAACTAACAAATTGCCTTATCACTTGCATCATGTGAACGCAAAGCTCGCAGGAAGTTCACTGATGACAAGTTTGTCAATACAGCTGGGGCTAGTAGGGGGCGGAAAAATAGAGAACAAGTCTTCACCTGTACAGCGGTCGTGGTGGAATTTTGGGCTTTGCAAAGAGAACTGACTCACGTGGGATTCAAACCTGTAAACGTGCAAGTTGCAAAAAGCAGTGCTCCACAAAACTCTCTCAGTTTTTGGAGAGATTTGTTTCTGAAGTGCCAGGTGAATGCAACGAAACCTATGGTCAACTGGGTATCTGACGGTCATCCCCCCCCCAGTTCACTGCACCAGCGGGGTGTTGGCAGGGCTCCCAACGTGCCTGCCGGGATGCCTCCCAGAGGATGCAGGGTTGTTTTTTTTCTTATTCCAATTACTGACAGCTTGGTCAGGCCATTGCCTGCCTTCGGTTCATCTGTGCATGTGTTCTGACTTGTTACAGGCTGGGACAACAAGATGAGCGATAACTACAGCGACTACTCGCACTCCGACAACGAAGAGGACGACGAGGACTTCGACGAGAAGGCAGAACGTAAGTTGAGGGTTGAGAGCAACGAAAAGGTCCAGACTGAGAGAGCATGATGTCGAACTGTTGACACAAACAAGCTAGAATGTAAAAATTCTGCTGAAGATTTACCATGAGACGGAAGCAGTGAATTTTTGGTTTTTCAGCTGCTTCATGAAACAGTCCGTTTTCACCTGGTTTGCCTTTTGGAACAAAAATGGGGAGCGAGAGAGTCTCGGTGATGAAGTTAATGTACTTTGTCCAGAACTGCTACCTCGTAGCATCATGTGCCGAAAAACTGTTTGCCTCACATCGAGAAAGAAAAGGGATAAAAAAAAAGTCCCCCCCCAACTAAATTTTCATGCTCAACTTACTGTTGTCAATTTTGTTTGTTATGCAGTCCGTCCAAGACGAAGGGACAAGGACAAGCTGCCTCCTCTGCTAGCAAGAGTGGCTGGCTCTATCGAGGTAGGTGCACGGAGCTTGGAGGGTCTTGGATCCTCAAAAAAGAAAAGTGAAAAAAATCACATAGTTTCTTATTCTTTCCCCATCTGTGCTGCTCACGTAGTAACCCTTTGTTCAGAATTTGTCAATGCAGCATTTGTCTCCAGATTTATTTTCATTGTGAACTTAGGCAAAAGTTATCCTGCTCTTGTGTAGGATGAGCGAGACTTTTCAGAGGTAAAAGAGTTTGAAACCTTAAAGCCTGCTATCAATAACGTGTGAGCGGTGTTATCTTGAAAACCTGAGAGAAACAGCCTTACCCTTCGGTATTAGGTGAAACAAGCTTTTCCAATGTCAGACCGTTGAAGTAGCGACTACGTTCCGCATTTTGTCAAACAAGTGATTTTGCTTTCCGTTTTCTTTCGCCGTCCCGCAGGTGCTTGGTTTCAACACCAGGCAACGCAAGGCATTCCTCAATGCCATCATGCGCTGGGGCATGCCCCCTCAAGACCCCTACAACTCTCAGTGGTTGGTGCGGGATCTCCGCGGCAAACCGGAGAAACACTTCAAGTAGGTTCACAAGTGTTTAGACCTCAAATGGAAAACCAACTTGATACATTTCTTTCATTTTTAAAGGCCAGTTGTGATTGCAGAAAGACTTCACCCTAATAGAGCCAGAGAGCTTCCACCTCCCCGCATTTTCTGCGATGTCATGTCATTGCATGTTTTTTGTTTGTGCAGAGCCGCCAAGGTTTTTCCAGTAACATCTTACAATCATTTTGACACCAATTTTTATGGAAATCAGACGTAACTTGTTAACCATTTGCTGCCGGGTGGATTTTTCTTGAGCAAGGCGAGATGCTGGGTCCTTTTCAAGATTTTCTGTTTTCAAATTCTTCAAAAATTCATCATTTCATTTAATGGCCGTTGATACCAAAATGAAGGACTCTTTGGGTACTACTCTAAAGCTAAAAATTCATTGACTGCTGAATATTTCAGCCAGGCCTGCAGCCTTGGAAAAAGAGCCCAGATTGTGCGGTGTTACGTAAGATTCTTTTGTTCCCGAAACTGGCACAGTGCACTGCTGACCTCTTTTCGATAGGGGCCAGATTAGCGTGCAGCAGTGCTGTGTGGCTCATCGCTGCAGTGGTGGAGCGCTTTTGTCCCCAGTGGTAATCCACTCGCTCTAAATGCCTTGGACCGTGGTATACTATTTCAAAACAAGGCTGGATTATCTCCACTATTGAGAGCAAAAAAAATGTTGGTAATGCCCAGCAGCTCAGTCTTTTGTGCTGAGCACGGCCTTTTGTTATAAGGCCCAAATCTTTTGTCCCAGTTCCGGGCTCCCCGGCTGTGCATATAAAGCCTATGTACTTGAAAACGGGTCGCCTGGCAGGCAATGGTTAATACTTGTTATTCTGAGACACATGCTCAGTGCTCGTATATTGACACTAGTGAGGGGGTGTGAACAGTAAAAGAACATAACACAAAACCAAATAAATTAGTCAGATTAAGCGGAACTTCCACAGATGTTCTTGTGATGAATGACCTCACAGGCACTTAAGGCGTCCAAAAGTGTTGGGGCATACATTGTGACCTCTGGCGAGCCACTAGCCTCTTTCTCCACCCAGGAGGGTATAAGTGGGCACCTGTTAGGGGCAGAGAGGGTTATCGCGGCTGATTAACCAGATAACAGCACCTGAAACGGTTAAACTGATGGCTGTAAACTCCGCAAGGGCTGGAACTGGTTTATAGGAATGTGTCTCGGCAGAACAAGCAGGGGTAACATATTGCCTCGCGTCTGTTCAGTGTGCGTCCTTTTTCTTCGTGAATCATGTATTTCTGACCACCATCTTACTTTTCTGTGTGTAGAGCGTACGTTGCTCTGTTCATGCGTCACCTGTGCGAGCCTGGTTCGGACGGTGCAGACACGTTTGCTGATGGGGTGCCGCGAGAAGGGCTATCCAGACAGCACGTGCTGACCCGCATCGGTGTCATGAGCCTCATACGTAAAAAGGTCAGTACTCAAGCAAAATAGGAGAAGCGTGCCCCTGAAATTCTCAAATTTATTAAATGGTACTCACCTCTTCACCCTCGGGTAAGATTTGAACACTTCAGATGGGTCTCGCAAATTAAACTTTAGTAAATGTAACCTGAGTTATTTTTGAAATGGACTTGGTGCAGCAACTGGTTTAGAGGGAGGTGCGTTGACAATATGGTAGAACCTATGAAGGAAGCATTGCTCTGTGCCTGCCGGTTTTTATGTGTGTCTTTGGTTCGGAGTGAACATGAGCAATTTGAAATGGTACTCCTGTGTTGGTCAGGAAACTATTTGGAGCTTTACGGTGAAGAGCATAATGACAAATGATATTTTTCCACTGAGGGGTAACAAACAATTGATAATGTGATTTTCAGTTATTTGAAATTTGATGATGTGGTTCCCGCCAGGTGCTGGAGTTTGAGCCCATCAACGGCAGCATCAGCATCCCCGAGCTGGTGCCCAACCCCAGCTCGGTCCTGGACAACTTCAAGTCGGACTCCCGCAAGTCCTCCAGGACGGCCTCGCCGGCCCCGACCCCAGCTAGCTCGGACTCGCCCATCCCCACCCCGGCCACTGCCGCGTCCCCTGCCGCCGCTGCCCCCTCCCCGGCAACCACCGTCGACTCCAAGCCCGAGGAGACGGAGGCCGGGTCCGGGGAACAGAAGGAGAAAGATGCGGCTGCGACCAAGGAGAAACCAGATGCCGAGGTAGGACCACAGAGGTTCCTTCAGTCATAACAATCACACATAGTCAAACATTCACCCCACTCACGTTCTCCGGCTACACTTTTTACAGTGGCTAATCACCACCAGTTGGATCATTATTCTGGTTGGTCCTGTATTCAGACAAATTCCATCAACAGCCGTAAGCAGGCGACTGGTAAACGAAGCTAGCTTATCAATCATCAACAAAGAACTACTATGTCAAGTTATATTGAGTATATATATATATATATTATATAGTCATAACCAAGTTTGCTTGATGTTGGTTGAGGCTTAAAACTGGTTAAAATAGTCCCTCAACAAATTTTGTCTGATAGTACAACTTCTTCCAGATTTAATGTTTGCATAAAAGAGTTAAATTACTAGAACGCTGTTTACCACTTATTGCTGGAGTTTCCGGAACCGGAGTCCTTGGGTTTATCTATGCGTAGCCGGGCTGCTTGAAATTGGACAAAAGAGCTGGGCCTTGTAACAAAAGACCGTACTAGGAACAAAAGACCGAGCTGCTGGGAATTGCCAAAATATTTTCAGTCGTCATTAGTGTAGGAAATCCATCATTGTATTGAATGATTATACCACCGGGGACAAAAGCGCTCCAGCTCTCCAGGGATGAGCGATACAATACCGCTGCACGTTAATCTGGTCTGCATTTGAAAAGACACCAGCAGTGCACTGGGCCAGTTTACGGATCAAAAGAAAATTATGTAACACTGCACAATCTGGGCTCTTTTTACAAGGGCGCAGGCCTGGCTGAAATACTCGGGTGTCGGTAGATGTTGTCTGTCAGATTAGAGTGGCCACCAGACAGTCAGACAGTCATTCGTGTGGGTGTAAACGTCCAGTAAATGAAGTTATGAATTTTTGAAGAATTTTGAAAATGGAAAACCTTTAAAATCCCCCGGGTATACATCATGCAACTTAAAATTAAAACCGGCAGCATATGGTTAACCCCTCCACCGCAGAGGCTGTGTGAACACCCATCTGGTATTTATCCATTTACTCTCAGTGGGTAAGATAGACTACATTGTTTTGAAATATTTGGGCTATTTGATATGGATGGCTGGATTTTACTCAACTGATCCTCAGAGCAAGAAGGAAGAGAAAGATGGCCAAGAACCGATGGACCTCGACAGAGAGGAAGAGGACAAGAGCAAGACAGAGGACGGAGACGAGACTCGGCCAGACCAGGAGAAACAGGCGAAGAACGAGGCAAAAGACGAGGAAGCTGGAGAAAGTAAGGAAGATAAAAACTATAATCTCAGTCTTAAGAGAACTATAAACACATAAGCAAAAACGGTGTATCCTGAATAATTTGAAAGGAAGTGAGACCCAGGTCGCTGTGCCCCCATGTGCTCACTTAATATGCCCCCGTTTGGCTCTAAAAACACCTCCCGGTTTTTTACAGTTGCTGTAGTGTCGATCCCTTGACAGGTTTTTTCATTTACAGCTTTACATTGCTGTCTTGGAGTGGTCGCGGTACTGTTTTGTAGCCTGCTGTAAAACTTTCTGGCTTGCCCATTTGTACTCGCAGAGCCGGATGCCACAGATAAGAATGAAGCTGGAGAAAAGATGGAAACAGACGACCAGGAAGTATCCAAGGAGAAATCTGAGGATGATCCCAAGACGTCTGAAACAGAGGAGGCCGGGGAGAAGGAGAAAGAAGCTGCAACGACGCAGGAGCCAACAGGAGAAGAGAAAGTCGAATTAGTCAAAGATGAGGAAGGCACCAGTCAGCCCAATGACAAGACAGGCGAGGCTGCCGAGACGGAGGAAAATGCTGAGGCGAAGGAAGAAGCGAAAGATGAGAAGCAGCCCGGTGCAGATACCAAGAAAGACGGCGGAGACGACAAGCAGGAGAAGGCAGAGGAGGAGCAGAAGAACGGGACGGCAGGCGAGAAGGAGGAAGACGACGATGACGACGACGTGGTGGAGGTCAAGGAGGAGGCCAAGAAGCCAGCCGAGAAGGAGGAGAGCCGCAAGGAGGATGCCAAGAAGGCTGACGCCAAGAAGGACAAGCGGCTCTTTGTCTTCAACATTGCCGACGGCGGGTTCACGGAGCTGCACACGCTCTGGCTGAACGAGGAGCGGGCGGCCAAGAGTGTTGGGGAGAGAGCCAATGAGATCTGGCACCGGAAGCACGACTTCTGGCTACTCAGCGGCATAGTCAAGTATCCTTTTACACGTCAAACCAGGGCAGTACCCCAAAGGAATGTCCCTATGCACACTTTCCAGGCACTCAGTTTAGAGGTATTTCAAATTGTTTTACCATTCACAAGTATAAGCACAATCTAGGAACCTCCCCCCCCCAAGTTGGGGGAATTTGGTGAAATTTGGAGAGTCTGAGCTATAGAGTTGAAAGGAGTCCAGGTACTAAACGGGCATTAGGTACTATGTTTGATTACTCATTGGGCATTTTGGACACCCTTTTGTAGACATTTGAAGATCAAGTGATTCCTTTAGTACCACTCTTCTTAGATGCAGAATAAAGTTGGCCCGCCCCTATGACAGAAACTATTTGACAGAGAGATAACCCTAAGATGCCGTCACCTGTTTATCATACTGTATGTTCACTGCCAGAGGGTTTAACTAAGCAGGGATTCAGCAACCAGTTAACGCACACGTATTGGCCCCCTTAACCCTTGGCTGTTATTAGACACGGGTATGGTCGCTGGCAGGACATACAGAACGACCTGTGCTACGCCATCATCAACGAGCCCTTCAAGGTGGACCTGGGCAAGGGTAACTACCTGGAGATCAAGAACAAGTTCCTGGCTCGGAGATTCAAGGTAAAGCTGGCGGGAAAAGGTCCAAGATGCTAGCTATCCCCACACTTGATGTTTGTTGGACGTCTATCTCAAATTGGGCGTTTTAAACCAAAGCTGTAGGATTTTGCGTTGGAAGGCATTTGCAGTAGAGAAAGTAATGCAAAGTATTGTCAGCATCCTTGTTTAGATTTGCCTTGAAGCCTGTCCATGGTGTCTCTGTTGAGTTCTTGAGGGAAACCCCCTTCCATTATTTTTGGGGGTTGTCGTAATGGAACAGTCGGTGTGAGCGGTAGTCTGTATAATGCTCTTGGCATAACTGAAATGCTCTTGTAAATGAACTGTAACCCTTGTTTGACTCTCATCAGCCACAAAGTGTAGACAGCCTGACGCACCATCTATTGACCATAGTGAAATCAGACGTAGTCGATCATATGGCCCCTGTATTTCACTGTGACTTCTGTGATTTCAACCCAGTTGATTTTTCCAAAGATCTCAAAATAACAGAGTAGAACTTGGAATATTTGCAGATGCTTACTCGACCTTTCTGAAGGGAAGAACTTTTTTTTTCACTATTTTGAACTTGCACAAATGAAAAATTAAAACAGAAAAAAAAAGAGAGAAAGTGATAATTACATTACATCCAGTGCAGTACTTTGCTTTGAGTCAACATTTCCCTGAAGGGATTGCGGTCAAGTGTCTTTTGTTACTGTCATTTTGGGCAGGAGTATTTGGAAAAGTAACTAACTGTCGCCTTTACATTTTTTTTTTAGAGAAATCACAATTCTGTGGGTACCCATCAATTGAAAACATGAGGGGTACCTTGTTCTGGTAAAACCAGTTGAACAAAACTAACGCTAACTTGCTTTTATCAACGGTTCCTCTCTCGCCAGCTCCTGGAGCAGGCCTTGGTCATCGAGGAACAGCTGCGGCGGGCCGCCTACCTCAACCTGACCCAGGACCCCAACCACCCGGCCATGGCCCTCAATGCCCGCTTCGCCGAGGTAGAGTGCCTGGCCGAGAGCCACCAGCACCTGTCCAAGGAGTCGCTGGCCGGCAACAAGCCAGCCAACGCCGTGCTGCACAAAGGTGAGAGAGAAGGGAACTTTGAATCCGTCAGGCTTGGATCTGTGACACAGCAAGGCCCCTCCCTGGGCGCGGGCTTCAGGATGAATTGACGAGGTCAAAGGGCGAGCAGCTTATTGTGATAATGTGACTAGAAAACTTTGTTCAAAGCATCGTATAGAAATTCAAACATAACTTACGCGATCCTTTCTGTGAAACTGTGCTCTTAAGGTCATCTTTTTTTTTGGGAATTTTGTTCCAGTTTGCGTTAGCAAGTCAAGGTGCCTGTGTTGGTTATTTCTCAGTCTGGAGTCCTGATGAAAATGAACATTATATGGGCGAAAAATGTTGAGGGTTCCTATTTGGTTCATACATTAGGGTTGTTTCTTTTGAAAGTCGTTAACTCAAAAGTGGCTCTTGTGACTTGTGACAGAGTGGGTCCCATGTACTAGAATTCCCAGTGGAATATTTCCCTCTTTCAAGGTCCCACATGTTTGCTTGTCTGTAGGACACGAATGAGAGAGACAAAAATGCAATCACAAAGCCATAAGACTGGTTTGTTGTGGGAATCACCAAACAGGTGCTTCAGACTCTGGATTAGGTCAGTTTGACCCGGATGTATTTGAAGCCTTGTCTTTAACAAAGCCCAAGGCCAAATTGAGGTAAAATGTCTTGCTTGAGGACATGCCTGACTCGGCTGGACTTGAGCGTCCCCTGCCTGCTGGGCAACTTGGTGAAGTTCAGACTTACAAAGCCGCCCATTATCGCCCAGTACAAATTCCTCCCTCCAGTACAGCCATTGACTAATAAAATCTTTGAAAATGAAATACCTAAATTGAAAAATGTTCCTGTTTCCCTCCCCCCCCCAGTGCTGAACCAACTGGAGGAGCTCTTGAGCGACATGAAGTCGGACGTGGCCCGTCTCCCGGCAACCCTGTCCCGCATCCCTCCCGTGGTGGCGCGCCTTCAGATGTCGGAGCGGAGCATCCTGAGCCGGCTGGCCAATCGTGACGGCCACAATGCCCAGGGCCATCCAGCCCAGACCCAACAGGTAAAAAAGATGACAAAATAGAGAGACCTCACACTGGCACGCCAATGCACCATTTCACGGGTATTTAACAAGGAAAAGCAGTGGTTTGTTCTTTAATACTTGGGAGTCTGGGCGTGAAAGCATGCATGAAGGTTTATTACAGCTTTTCTGTAAATGGCGACAAATTGACATATTGGCTCTGAAAAGCCCTTCCGAGAAAAAGCTGATTCTCACATATTCTTTACTCAAATGAATTTTGTTTCTAGTTCCACACAAAAGCTGCAGCACAGTTTAATTGCGATCGTTTTTACCGTTCAAGACTGATGTCTTTCCTTTGCTTCAAGCATGCTTTCTTTATCCTGGCCCCCTGATCTAACTTTTGGCTAGTTTGCTGTACTGTCCTGAACATCGGTATCCACAGTTCAGGGACGTCTGCAGATCTTCAGCTTTGTTAAAAAAAATGCTGCAAACAGGGTGCTGATAGGTATGGGTTGGAATCGAGTGTACCCATGTCTCCGACTCCAGCTTTCTGTGGGTTTAGTTGCCTCTGACAGGTTGATGAACGGATCTCGATCCTTATTCGTCCTTCTCGGACTAATCAAATCAGAAAATTGACAAGGCCTATTCTGCCCGCAAAATTGGCTTTGAAAATGCTTCTTGTGCCCTCATAGCCAGCCAGTCAGCCATGATACAATTCACCTTGTGATCAAAGCAGAGTGTTGGAGGACAGCCTCGAGTTAATCCAAAAAGCAAATAAATTGAAGTTTGAAACTATCTATTAAGTTGAATAGAATTCGCCACTGTTGAGCCAGAGTGCTGGCCATATCTGCTGGATGCACAAAACAGGGAGTTTCTTAACTTGCGGGATTAATTTTGGAGAGCAGTGCAGTTGAAAATTGGTATCGTAAATGGAGCCCCCTGGGAAAAAAGTCAGAGTCGCTCGGAGGCTTCAGAAATGACTGTTAAGCTACAACGCCCTCAAGAGATGTGTTCACAGCACACTGCTCAGACACCAGGGTTGTGCTTTATGACCATGGTTACTAGATACTTTGAACTGACCTTGAGAAGTTCCTTTGTGTAGTTCTAAACTGACCAGTATTCTGAGTATGTTGCAATGCACGTGTACAGTGCAGCTCATCGGGCAGTTGCTTGTGTGTGCTAGTTCAGGCTCCCAAATTTTGGGTTCCTGATTTAGATTTTAAAGAGAAAATTTGCGGATCTTCCATATTTTTTTTCACCTTTTCAATGTGATTCCTCTTCTTAACATTTTCCGAAACACACTAAATGACTTCCAATTAACAACTTGGAACTAATTTCAACTGCACTGCCTCTGTACCTGAATAACTATCCCAGGATGTGATCATGTTCATTCACCCAGTCACTGATTCCTTCTCGACACGTATGCCGTCAAACACTTTCATCGTAGAGCGATACAGAAAGTGGAGTCACTTAGAATTAGCATTTCTCAAAACTCCGTTTTATATTAAAGGACACCTTGTCTTATTTTATATCCAGATGTACCTAAGGATTTGCAAAAAACAAAATGGCGTCAGCCGTTAAATGTATCTGAAAGGCCATTTTTAAGAAAAGGCTTCTCTTGTTTTTTCTTTTTTCTTTTGTTACTGTGAAATGCTTTAAGCATCATAATAGCTAATGTACATAAGTGTCAGTACTTGAGTTTATATTTCTTCACGATTTGTGTTATTTTAGGAGCTTTAAATTGAAATGCAAATTTATTCTTTTGTTTACCCTCACATGATCTGTTCCGTTTGTTTTCCTTTTTATTTATTTAGTTAAACAGTAGTCACTTGTCAGGGAGTTGTACGGATTTAATATCATAAGCAATGTGGGCAACGGGGTATATGGTTAGTCGCTGGGTATTTGGGGGAGTATTTAAGATGAAGATAAAACTTGTTTGTCTGTTTTTGCCAGATGAATAAGATTACTTGCCATATGTAACTTCTGGGGTTGAAAGTTGAGTCTTAGCTGTTGAAGGGCGCCGTGGCCCTGGAGACAGTAGTATATCGAAATGGGTATTTATCAGAGAAACATCAGTATGTAAGAATATATAGTACTATTAGGCCACTGCATAATAATATAATTCTGGTATTAGGGTAGTTGGTATGTAAATGATGAGGCAAGTTTACAAGGTAACCCACGCTGGTCATGTGCTCTTGAAGTTATTTGTAATAACGAGAAGGCAGTGAGGTTGGATGTTATTTAATCGACAATCAATTGACAGTTTGTACTAACATATGCAATAACAGCATAACATGCCATAGTGAACACCTCTGTCCCTTTTATGGCCACAAGTGAAACACACCCTAAATTATGTGTATTTCCCTCATTGTTTCCAGGGAACTATTGTTGTATGCAAACTTTGAACTAAACATCACCTCGGTTATTTCCAGGCTTTTGGTAACAGGGTTTTCGTAACACTTCGTGCGTATCAATGATCAGGGGCCATATTTATGACAGACTTATTTACCTGTTCACGGACTCAAAGCGTGCGGTAAAATTTACTCAAGTCACTGCGCTATGAAGTCCCAGCCACACTCGGGAGAGAAATTCATGCCAATACTTGCAAGGATTATCAAAAAAACGGTTGGTTGCCTGTGGTTATTCAGCATAAGCTTTTAGTGTTTTCTGTGGTGTCCAACTCGAGGAATCTGAAATGACTTCAGCATTCAAGAGAAGACTGAAATGGTTGTTCATGCCTTCGAGAGTCTTCCATGTAGGACTTAAACTTGAGTAGGTTTGACCTCGTTCCAAACCAAAAAGAGATAACTTTAGTGTACACGTAATTTAAGCACAAAAAAGATATTAAGTTTTTGAGGAATAAATGTTGCACTGCGGATGAGCACGTCCAACCCAACCGCTTGACTTGATCTGGTGTTCTTTTCTTTCTTTCCCCGTCCGTCCCTGTGTCTCGTCCGTCTCTCTCTCTCTCTCTTTCTCGCTTCAGATTGCTCAACCTCTGTCCCAGGGGGTGGGTAACAAGTCGGCCGTCGGTCCTGCGTCGGCGGCCACCGCCTACGCCACTTACAGCGCCAAGGGGGCAGGGCCGGGAGGCAACTTTACGACCGGGAGCCAGCCGGCTGGGCGACGGCCCATCATTCAGCACGGCCCTCCCCAATTTACCGGTGTCCAGACCAACCATTTCGGACAGAGTAAGCTTTGTCTGATATTCCTCTTCTTTTTCCCCCCTGCTTGTCGCAAACAACTCTACTCTGGCCAGTGTTGTCCCGTTCCCCACCGAGCATTTCAACCGCTACCTCGGGAATGGAAAAGGGGCTCCAAAACTGCCAGGAAAACCCAAGGCCCTTGATAAATCTACTTTCGTATCAAATGGAATCCCATTACATTTTTTTTTTCTTTTTTTAATTCCTCTAACAATGCATGTGACTTTTCTTCTTGTGAGCAACATTGATTTTCCCTGCAGCTGGTCGATGCTTTCACCTCATTTGAGGCTAGGTGGTTTACATTTTCCAGATCACATGTCCAGGCAGCCAAGTGTTCACAAAATAGCGTGCGTTATCGCAGTGAGCGTGCATGTTCACCAGTTGAAGGGGGAGACTTTTTCTCAGAACCCACAAATGCCTGTAACTTCAAGTCTTACTCAGAGGAAATACAGCCTCCGATATTTTATTCAGGTGGGGTGGGGGCATCGCTGAAGTAAATATTTATTACTGGGTTTTGCCTGTCCGCAGTTCCTGCCCAATTTCACAGGTGTTGCATTCTCAGTGCGGTTTGAGAGCTGGTGCCATTTCTGTTATACTCCGCGTAGCATAACATGCTGATCGGCAAATATTAGCTGCAGCTTCCTATTAGCCAAACTTTTTGTGTACTTCGCCAATTTCTGTGCTTCACCGCTCCTTGAATTGGACACCACCAATGGGAAAATCTACTTGAGCTTTATACCCAGGGTGGGATGTGAACCCATGGCCCCCCCCCTGCTCAGCAGCCCAGACGTCCTCAACCATTCAATAGCGGGTTAGCCTGTCGGTATGGAATGCAATTTGCACCTGTGGTCTATCCTGCTGGGGGGAGGGGAGGGGAAAATTCCCCCCCCCTGATGCCATTTGGTAATAGAAAGAACCTACAGCATTTCAAAAAAATGAAAGGGCACTACCAGTTTCCATGAAGGCAGAGGTAACAAGGATTCTTTTACGAATAAAAATTTGTACAGTGGTTTTCAACAAATGTCCAGTTAGCCCCCCAACACAAGATCTGGATACGCTTTGCCTCGGCGATCAAAGTCCACCCCCTCACCCCCACAAACCTCAGTATTAAGGATTGTCACCAGCCTGGCGTGGACTCCTTCAAGGAAGAAGAGCGTCAGTGGGTCTGAGGAGGCACCATTTCTAAGATGGCATCACACCCAAGAGTATGTTTCCCAATACGAGGTGCACATGCATTTCTCTCAGTTGATTGCTGAGGAATTTCTCGCACATGCACCGCCTGCCTTTGTACGCGGTGCCCACTGCAGTATCAGCTTTGAATGCTAGTCGCCGAAATGAGATCTGTTCCCTGGGTTGTCTCCCCTCCCTGCAGCCATTCAGACCATCCCCCAGGGGAACGTACAGGTCCTGCCCGACCCCGGCCACGCGGTGATCGTCAAGAACCAGTCGGGTACCCCGTCCACACAGGCCACCGGCGGCAGCAATTATTACACCACCATGCTGAGCAACGCCTCCAGCGCCATCTCCAATTCAGGTGAGAGGAATGAAAAGGATGGGTGTTGGCACTGATTTTGTCCTGGGTACTCCCAGGTTATTCATTTTCCATGAACTTGTATTCCGCTGCTTTGCGTCATACTTTCCTTTTCCCCTGGATCATGTCCAACAATTGTTCTCCCCAGATTAACAAAATTTGGAAATAAGCAAGGCTGGGTTCATGCAGTGGTACTTGGCTGACTTTCCAAAACTACATTTGTGGCTCAATCTCCCATTAGATGCGACATAGTCCGGACCATAGCCCTCACCGGACTGTGTTTGGGTTTTTTTGTCCATGTTGAGAGAGGTAGAATAGGAGTTGGGTTGAAGGTTAAAGTTATGGTGCATTATTTTGCCGCTGTCGTTTAAGGTGCGATTCTCACTTGAGCCTGCCCTATAGTCTGAATTCAGTCCAAGCTGGACAGTTTTTATTTGTCACAAGTTCGCACCCTTGAGAAGCAGGGAGCTGGTACAAAGTAGTGATTCAGGTCTGGAATCTTGTCAACAGTCAGCCTGGAATTTCAGCCCCACTCACTTTTTTTACTACTTGCGCCTTGGGCAAGAATTGGCTTCCTTCTGGTGCTCTAGGTTGGATTCAGATCCCTCCCAGCCCATGTGATGGTGATGGACTGAGTGGTAGCTCAGCTTGCCTGTCAGTGCAGTGACGGAAGTTCAAATCCCACTGAATACATTTTTCGACCAATTATCTTTTCCAGCCCCCCCCTTTTTGATCTCAGTACACTTTTGCTAAATAGTTAGGGTGTTTGTGCAGATGACCTAGGATTCCCAAGACTTGCCCCCAAAGTCTGTGAATGTGGTTCGAACCCCACCTAGGCTGCATGCATGATTTCACAGTCACTGTTCCATTTCCAGCTCGTAGTCTTGCCCGTCGTTTGTGACTTACATGTACATTATCACTTGATTCTGCATCTTTCCCCATGCTGTTTTCCCTGTATATATTCACTGTGATGTAACAGTGCAGAGACTTACATGTTTATGTCGTTTTGTCATTTCATTTCCTGGTCCAAAAGTCTGATGACGTTATGCCATTCCCTCTCGTAATCTTTTGGTTTGACATCAAAGTCTGTCACCTGCCTTGTTTCCATGTTGATTCTGAACTTTGCAAAAGGAAAAGAAATGTTGTTGCACTGTCAATTGAAAAGTGGTAAAGTTCCGTTTGTTTTAGACTGTGATCCGTTTAGCAAAAAACAAATCAATTTTCCTTGCTTCTTGGTCAGAACTTGAGCTGTGAAGAGAAACCAAAACTCCACTTGCTGATGGACAAAGAGTACTTTCAATCTCTGCTGTTTCTAATTTCTTGGTTTTGACAGTATCGTAAATAATTTCGGAGTATTGATGTCATCTTCACCTGAACTCGTGCTTTTGATGGCATTGTTCGAAACATTGCAATTGTACCGATTACCACTTGGTCAAGAGTGCAGTGACATTTGAAATAATACCCCGTTTTTTGTTTTGGCCCATCCTTTTCCTTCTCCCCCAAACCCTCCCCTCCCTTTTGTTGTCCAGTTGTGGTGAGCAGGGACATAATGGGTTTGCTACCTGACGCCCCTCAAAAATCACTCCGAGAAAAACACAAAGTAAGTTCACCCATACCCGATTTGGGGTATACTCCCGCTGTATTTTTGGGGGTATCCTCCATTGGGAGTCTCACCAAAAGTGGACATGAAAATTGACACTTTGGGGGATATCCCTCCTTTGGGGGAAATCAGTGAATACTTTAAATACCCAAATGATGTTCGGCTTTAAGGTAGGCACAATTAGTTACACAGTGAGTGTCCATAGGCACATCCGTAGTGCATGAACACTGTTCTGTTTCTCTGTAGACGGAGATGTTTACATCCATTTGTCACGTTTATGTCATTTTTTTCTCAAGCATGTAGTTTTGTCCACTGTCACACCAAACGTCACACATCCCCAGAACACTTTCACATCGTCAGTGGCATTCTATTGCTGGTACTTGAAACCTCAATCAAAATTGAAGCCAAAAGAGGTCATCCTGCTGTAGTGTTCGCTTTGGAAGTTGAGGGACTGGGCCCAAGATCATGAACTCGATGAACAGACAGATAGTACAAACAGAAAAGCAACGGAGAGCCAGTCGGCAGTGTAGAACACTTGGTTGGCTATTTACTCGGTGAACAAGTCCTGCCTGAGCTTTGCCCAAGGCTCTGGGCTGGTGGAGATGTGTAAAATGGCCACCTAAGATCATGAAGTTTTGCAAAAAAAGGGATAATTTTTTTTCCCCCTCCTGTTTCTGATCTCAGAAATTGCACTGTCTGATCAAGACCCATTTTGCTTGCAGTGGTGGAGTGCAGAGGTTTTTCACGTTGCGTTAACATGACAAAGAGAATGCATTTCAGGAAGCATACAATGTCTGTGGTGTGTGCGTTCCGCGCATGTCGGCGTAAATTCAACCGCTGACCGTCAAACATCATGTGACTGAAAAGCCTCTATAGAGCCACGTTTCAGGTTTTCACGCTTCTTTTTCTTTCCTTTTTTTAATTAAATTTGCAAATGCCATGTGCTTTTTTGCATGTCCAATCAGGGCCATCATCATCATCGTCATCATCACAAGTCAAGGGTCAAGATGGGAGGCAGATCAGATGTGAGTCGTCTACTCATTTTTCTTTTAAAAGAACCTAGCCAAGGAAAAAAAAAGTGGTCAGTTGTTGGGAGGGAAGGGACGGGGTCTAGTGTGTGTAAATTCAACACCGTGCTTTAAAGGCAAGTTGTTCATCAAACATGCTTACAGAATGACTTCTGAAATCTCACCTGTAATATTCATTGTGAGAGTCTTTCATGAAAATGCTTTTTGCAAAGTCATGCTCTGGAATTTAGACAGCTTAGACAGCTGAATGTGTGTGGGTTTAATAGTGACCATTGTAAACTTCCCCTAAAAATTGGAAAGATAAAAAGGAATGAGGAAAACGGGCAAAAGAAATTTTTAAAAATAGACGTACAGGGGATGGAAATCACCAATTTGCTTGGGAAAGACCTCAAAATTTCCCCGTCCCGCTTTCAATTTTTTTTGTTCAGCTGAGGAGTGCGTTGCCTCCCCCCCTCGGATATTCTCCCCCTCGAAAGAAAGTGGTTCCCTCTCCCCCCCCCCCAAAATGCTAAGTCCCACCAGTTTTGGCACCGCGCAAAGTGCATTCCATTTATTTTCAGGCCAGCTTATTCGGGACATCTTCAGCAAGATAAATTTCATGATGTTGCCCACAAGTGACAACACTGGCCCCAATCGAGGGTGTACTTTTTTTATCTAAAGGCATATAATCAACAACAGCGATATGGAATCATACACTGCTCAAACTTTGATGAACATCTGATTCAGAGATTGGTACGCTTTTCAATTCCAGTTGGCAACTGGCTTGAGAATTGACCAGTGTAGAATCTGTCAAATAATTTGACCTCACAGTTTCTCAGTGTGTCGTTTAATATTCCGCCAGAAGAAGTGATTCCGGACGTAAAGTCTAATACCTGTAGTGAGATCGTTTTGGCATCTGTCGCAACGGTTTTCTTTTTCCCCAGGATCAGAGAAAGCTGAGTCGGCATGCAGCTACCTCCCTGGCCAACCTTCAGCAGCTGAGGACAGCGATTGCTGCCCGCAGTATGGTGGCATCCGCTGCGCCCTCCACCTCGGCTAAGCCTGCCAAAGATTAGACCAAGCATCCCCCGTCCGTGATAATGTACCCCGTCCTTTAAAGAGGCCTGCCTCGTCGCACTGAGTGGACTGAAAAATTCACCAGTTGGTCACGGAGCGCTTAAACTAGGGCTGGCCGACAGTCTTGCTCCATCACTCACACTGATTGATTAACGGCTTTATGAAGAAGTTGATATACATGTATTTGACTTACAACATCCATCTTATTTGCAGGGTGAAGTTGTTTCCTTTAATAAGAAATTATGAGATAAGATAGGACTTCTGACTTAAAAGTTTCCAACTGCACTCCCATTTCTGTGACCCTGGGGTTTCCCCTTTGAAAACTCACACCCGCTAATAACCAGCTAGAGAAAAACTGAAGAGAAACCCGAGTCGGGTTCCATTAGTTAGCAAAGAGTCTGTGCTGCGTCTCGCTTGTACTGTGTAGTGTCGCACGTAGATCCCTTTTTGAAAGCAGAAGGAAACAGCACCATGGTGTATTGTTGTAGAAGTTCAGTGGAATTAGAAGTGTAAAATGTGATCGCTGAAAGAAACTAATCTGAAGCAGCTGTAGAGGATATATTGGCCGTTTTTTCAGTCTGGCCAATGGAATGTGCCAAAGTTGGCCAGTTGGCCACTGTGGACAGCCAGCCACTTTTAACAGCCAAGCCCATAAAGCTTATTTCTTCACAGGTGGCCTCAAAGGCTGAAAGTGGCCAGCTGGCCGGATCTGGCCAGTGACGCCGCAAGGAACAGTAACCTCCTAAACCACCCGTCAGCTTATTTCAGTAACCCAGAAGGAAACTCCACTAGACTTAAAAATGCAACCCCTCAACTTGGACATAATTTCTGTGTACATAATTACCAACACCTGTCTGTATATATAATGGAAGTTGTCAATGCTGCAACAAAAAGAAGGGTTACAGTAATTTTGTTACTTTGAAGAAACATGAAGTGAACACCTGAAAACAGACATCGTTAGTTAAGTTGTGGTGTGGAGCATGAAGTTTAACCAAACTCGTAGATTTTAAAAGTACACTCTCCTGCATGCGCTTTTGGATCACACAAGTCATGACGTACTTTCAAAAAAATGTGCATGAACTTTTTTCTGAACAAATCAGTGTAAAACACTGCTACTTCTTGTTAAAGACAAATCAGTTTTGTTTATTTTTGTACCAGTAGAAAGAACAATCCTTGAAAAATTGTTGACGAATGATTCACTGATGGTATTCATAATGACAACTAACTTATAGTATTTGGAAATTTATTTTCTTTCTTTTAGAGTAATGTATATTTTGTAATGCGTTCGCAGTATCGCCGTGTTGACATTTCAACTCATGAGGCGGGCAGACTTACATAAAATGACTCCTTACATCTGAGTAGTTCTGTTTTCTTAAGTAACATCTTTTGTTCTGTAAAGTTTTGTTATATTTTCAAGAAACACTGTCTTAACCAAACAAAGGCACACAATCGTTATGTTAAGATCGCTTTGTACAAACTGCTTTGTCTTGCACGCTCTGGTCCTGTGTATGTGTGTGTTGATGCCAGCAAAATAAGAGGAAGAGATGAAGAGAAATGGGTCTTGTTATTCCGTGGAGTCCAACCCGTGTCTGTTTTATCAAATCCGCTGTTTTCGTTCTTGTATTGCGTTTGCAAAGTATCCAAGAGTCACGCTCGAGCCGCTCCGCTCTCCCCACTGTACGAGCATCCATTTCTTATATATCAAGATCAGATCAAGACTTGGTAAATTTAGCTCACCTGAGATATGTAGGTAATGTAGCATATTTATCCAGCAAGTCATTTACACTTCACTTAATATTAATTCTAGGCAATACTGATAGAAATCAGACACCATACTTGGGCCTTCTCACAAAGGAACGCAGCGTTCCATGTGGTACGCGGCTGTTTCCAACGGAACAGCCGACCATTTCGGAATGAGAACATGGCATTCCAATGGGAACGTTCCACATTATGACATGCTCCCTAAGTTAATTTACAGTGATAGGAAAATTATTTCTTTTCTTACATATCAAATTATAAGTTCATTTCAGACTATTTTGGTGTTGGCCAACCTGCTTTTACAGTGCTCAACTTCCTCACAAATATAAACAGGTAGTCCTATTTGAGGCTTCCAACCTATTTTTTTTCACAAACTGTCTCGTCCACTTGCCTAAAAAAATCAGGCATGCAACTTTTTCTTGGATCAGCTGATTTCCTTGTTTTTCAATTTACACTCGTGCCATTGGAAATTGAAAAAACACAGTCTTGGGATTTCAAGCTAATGATGGTGACAGACAACTAAGGTGGAAAGCTTGCGGTAGCACCATGCAAGGATACAATCTCAACAAAGTCTTGTAAAGATTGGAACTTCCTAGTTTTTTGTCCAAGTCCAAGTTGCATGCTTGTAAACTGCTCGCAAAAGCAGAATATTTAAAGGCATACACACTTTGATGCCTGTTTTGGGGCCTGCACCCAGAGCCCTCTGTGTTCTTTCAGTCGTCATGGTGACCGTACACCCTCCGCAGCTTCTCCCGCTTGTTGCGGTTGCCGTGTTTCTTCCAGGGCTTGTCTGCCAACCCCTGCGCTGACCCTTGCCCTTTGATCCCACTCGTACCTCCCCGGGGACCAATGGGCCCCTTGACGTGGGACACCACCGTCTTCGGGGCAAAGAAGGTCTCGTCCAGCTTGCAGGATGTTGGTTGTTTCTTCAGCTGGTCAAAGAAAAGGACAACAAATGTGAACTCCAGGGCCCAAAACAAAATGAACGGGGACTTTTACTGAATGCCGAACCATCACAATTTTAATGAAAGAAAGGGTTAGGGTCAGAAAACTAGGGCTAGCTCGAGTGACATCTCGAGTTCACTTTAATTTTACGAATGTTGCCAAAATGGTCGGACTATTTAGTCTGCCGTTTGGAACCAGAAGCTAGGCATGTGGCTGCATCACTGCTTATCAACAGCAAATTCCATTCCTTAGTGCAGAGGGAACCGCTGATGAGAAAATTACAGCGCCAGATGTAACTGATACTGAATGGCAGGAGAGTTGTAACCCAAGTCAAAATACCAGTGACAATTAGATTCTACAAAAATGCTCGGTCTAGAATTGCCAGAGACTGACCATGACTGCACAGGTGCACTGCAAAATTGGAATCAGAGCTGACATCCACACTTACCTCTAGCAGCAGCTACCACAAGCTAATACCTTGGTGATACCTTGTAAAAATTAGCCAATCCAGTGAAAGCATTTCCCAAGTAATTTGAAGCAATGATGGAGTATTTGCCAGTGGAAGAATTTCCCCATACTCCCACAAAGCCAAGGAATCATGTCCCTAACCAATGACTTCAAAACCAAAATCCTGCCCCCGAAAAAACTAAATAAATAAATTGCCCCAAAGCATGGACACAGTGAGCCACCAACTCGTTGGATTAAAATGAAAGTTGTCTCACGTCAGCTTGACAGCACAACTTTGATCTCTATTTCCTGTGAAGCACTTGGCCATGTATGATCTTATTTCCTCAAGACGTATGCGGCTTGGGCAGGGTGAGTCTGTCCTAATCGCCATACTCGGGTTCAGCAATACTTCAGCCCCTTACCCTATCGCCTCTCCCCATCCCGGAGTAAAAAGGGACCCATGGGGGCAGATATGGTTACTGTGCGGGTGCATCAGGCTACATGTAGTGAACTCCCCACAGAGTTGAGATGGTTTCAAGCATGTTCAGATGTTGTGAGCCCAATAAGCAGGGATAATAACACATTGGCACCTCTGAACGGCACTTTCTGATAGACACTGTACGCACTTTCTGTTAGACACTGAACGCCGTAAAACTGTTCTGATGTCGTTACTTTACGCAAGATTTTCACAGGAAATCTCTTCTTGCTGTTTCTCGACTCACTTTGGTTCCTTCCTCCGTGATGACCGGTCCCGAGGCCTCCCGCTGCGTCTTTGTAGCGTCACCGCCGCCACGGCTGGTGTCCATGCGATCAAAGTCCTGAAATTCGACGGCGTCCATCCCTGGCGGCGGGTGGCAGTACAGCAGTTTGCCCTGCGAGGGGCGAAAAATCCCAATTGATTAACATACGTCAATCATCATCAACCAAGAAAAATCAGCATCACACAGCAGCTGCTGTTTTAAGCAGCGTATGGAAACCTCGCTTCACACACGCTACCCAAGGTGTTGAGACAGGTCCAAAAATTATCCTAGGCCCACCCGTCAAGGGTAGTAGTGCATAAAGCACTCTCTTCCACTGTTCTAGAAATTTGAGCTAATATTTTGAAAATGAATGATTTTTTTTTGGTTAAAATCTTTCTCAAAGTTATGGAGTTGTATGAATTTTTTTTACCTTGACATAGTCTTTTAGGATGACCCTCGCTGCCCTAGGGCAGTCTGGAATACCGTGGTTGGTCATGAAGCCCCGCATATCTGTTAAAAATGCAAATAAATATACCTTCAACTTTATCAAGAATTCAATTAAAACATTTCCACTCAATCTATTAAAGAACAAAATTATTGCATCATCTGGAAAATTCCTCTGCTTCAATTCCTCTTGGAAATTCATTGATATCTGCACCTGAAAACTGGTACCAGTGAAAGACGGATGAAAAACTGATCAAAGCAGCCAGCTACAAACTCTGGGCTTCCAAAGATGATCTCTGGCTGATTTTTGCTCCCGCCTGCTTATTTTTTTCTGAACTCGGCTGTAGAAGACACATCTATTGTACTTCGACTTCCACGGGCCATCAAAGCAAATGTAGCCGCCAGGAAGTGGCTTCCCTATGCAAATACATGATTGCAGCCAAGCAGTCAAAATGACATGATTACGGGGAGCTTACAGGCATAGGCATTGAGGAACTCCCGGGCCGTGGGTGTCCTGTTGGCGTCTTCCCCCCCTCGTGGCTTGATGATGTTGATGCCGTAGATGTTGTTCAGGATGTGCCGAGGGATGCGTTCACAGACGTGTGGTAAGGTCAAGGACGAAAACTACCGAGAATGCCCAGGAAATCCTGATAAGATTGCACGGGAAACAGTTACTTGGCAATGCTCACTGTTAAGAATGTTGAGATTATGTCTCTGGTTCTCGTAAGGAACCACCTTGTTCTTTTCAGAATTCTGTAGAAAAGATCTGAAAATGTGGGACCCAGACCGAAAAACAGTCATCAGAAATTGATCTGAGACCTGGGGGTTTGTGATCAAGGCCAAGACCTAGAGACCGCAAATGACGCAACAAAAATGTTTTAATAAAATAACAAAGGTCAAAAGACACAAGTGTAGGATGTGTCCGAGGACTGTGCATTAGTCAGGAAAGAGTGTCCTCGAACTGACTCAGTCTCTAAATGTCCTCTATGTCTATGTATGTAAGTTGCCTGATGCCATGGTTATTTTGCACGTATTTTCCTTCACAATTGATTAATTGATTGTGTCATTACCAATCCCTCTTTGGCAATGTGTATCGACTGCATTTGGAGACTGGCAGATAAGAATGCATTCACAATTATCAATTCTCCAACAAGTGCCATTCAAAAGGGTTTGGGAACACAGTCCAAGTTCAGGCCGGTGGATGCTTTAGGCAAATGCAAACGTAAAGCAAATTGGACGTCACAAAAACACTTGTACAGTTCGCTTGAGATGAAGTGTGCCCAGCTCGCGCAAATTCGAAGCACAAATACTTGATCTGACACCACAAGAACCTAATTCGTATTTGCTTTCCTCAAGGTAAGACCTGGCATATAATGTTGGGTTTCTTCAACCTTTGCAGATTCTCAAGATCTGCAACGCGGTGGTGCATCCCCAAAAAACATGCCCCGTATAGACACGCTCGCACATGCAAAACTCTCGAAGGGGAAACCAATTTTTGGAAGGCCGGGATTGGGGAGGGGGTAAGAAAGGATATCAGTGAGACGGGAGGAATGCTGTCCCTGAGATGGTCGATGCAGAGGATGCCACTGACGATCATCTCGGCCTTGGAAGACACCATGGAGGGCATGACCAGACCCGGGCAGTCGCACAGACACATGGTGGGCTCCACGTACAACGTCTGCGAGAGGGAGAGAAAGTACACAAAGAGCCTGTTAAGGTTGATCAGGTCTTTCCGAATCAAGCTGATGGTTTGTGAGGATTTTGTAGGATTGAGGAAGGCGGAGCAAGGCCCTTTTTTGCTTTGAACATGTATGACAGCTTGATCAGAGGTGTAAATAACTATGGTGGAATTCGGGAGGGGGGGGCCAGGGTACACACATTTATTTTCAAGGGGGTACTGAAATCAAATTAAATGTAGTCTGTACATTGTAGTTTTTGCGCACGTCAAAATTTCATATGGGGACGAAGAATTCCAATGAGAAGGGCACATCCCCTCCCATAGTTACAATGTATGCTACCACACTTCAAACCCCAGGTTGTACCAATTAATTTCTAACCTTTCAGAGTATCCAGAAAGATTTTTGTTCATAAAGAGAGTGGTTGACCTTACAGTCAGCTAAGACCAGTGTTGTGGTTGAGTCCATCTAAAGACCACTCACAAGACAAAACACGAGACTTGACCAAAGACCGGTCACCAGGCCTGGTCACAAGACCAGATCCAAGGCAAGACACAAGACAAGAAACAAGAGCAGACTGAGGACCAAACACAAGACCAGGCACACGACTGGTCACGAGACCAGTCACAAGACCAGACTCAAGGCCACTCAAAAGACCAGTCACAAGACTGGTGACAAGACTGGCCAAAAGACCAGACCCAAGACCAGTCACAAGACCAGTCATAAGACAAGACACAAGGTTACCGATAAGGCCAGATAAAAGGCCAGAAACAGGACCAGTCACAAGGCTAGACACAAAACCGGTCAAAAGATCAGTCACAAGTAACAGGTTGAACAATGGCAAAGGTATGCTTCAGTTGCAATTCATTTGAGTAGCATAGGACTTAATTCAAACTTGAGATCTTGTGATGGTCTTAAGCGGTCATGACCCGAACATTGGCTCAGACAAAACAAGAGTCACAGGACTAGGGCAAACATGCTAACACATGGCACACTCCATTCCAAATAGGAAAGAAAGAAAACCACTAGCCTGACTGTGTCACTTATGATTGTGAGGGTCAAACTTAATAAGCCTTTTACAAGTTAAATTTGAATAGAATCTGGTACACTGAGTTATCTGATTGCACACAAGCATAATAATTTGAATTCCCCAGACTAAAGACACTGTTGCTATTCCTTGTGATCCACATAGTGACCACCATCTCTGGAATGGACTGGTTCCTTTGTGCCCTTCTTATCCACTAAAAATACTGTTTGGTGCATGGCGTCTCTTATATAACTAAGCAAAAGTTTGCCCTGAATCACATGGCATAACAACAGTGTCTTTAGTATGGAGAATTCAATTTGTTATGTTCACATGAATTTAGAGAACTCAGTGTATCAAATTTCATTAAATTTAACTCACAAAAGGCTTATTGCTGGCTCAAAGAGCACCAACGAACAAGATGTGGGCACACATCTAGATTTTTTCCTAATCTTCAATCCCCTTATTTTACCTGGAAGTGTTTTGTTCTTCCTGGGGTTGCCGACACGGGAACTTTTTTCTGCTGCAGAAGAGCATTAATAGTGGAGCTCTTACCGACGTTGGGATAACCCACCTGCCAAGAAGGAAGAAAGCCTAACCATTACAGGTTGGTGGACAAATTTATTGCTGACCTTAGCTGTAAAATGTGATTGGAGTATTACAGGGAAAAAAATGCACAAAATACAAAAATTGGAATCCCCAAAACACTCCAAACGTCAAATCTATTATTTCGACCATAAAAATAACTCCCCCCCCCAAAAAATAAAAATGCCCAGAACGAAACTGCACACCTTCATTGACATTGGTTGTGAATATAGTTATAAAGGAGATCTGTACATGTGAAATGTTTTCCTGTTAGTATTTTGTTGTCTCTTTTGTATTGTCTTGTTTGTTTCTGGTAATGGCATGCCGGACCAAAGCTTTGCTTTCAGGGTTTTGCCCCCTCTAGTGGCCTATTAGCTCATACATTGTTAGTACTTATATGTTGCCATGAGGAGGAAACAAATGTAACGGATAAATCAGACATATCAATTAATCGTCATCTGGTTTGGTTGTTCACTCCGATCTTCATATAGCAACTAAGACCTAGGAATCGCAGATAAATGTCTGCCGACAAAAAAAAAGGGGGAAGAAAAATTTTGACACGAGTAGAGAAAGCTTAAACTGAAACTTCTTCTCACCATGCCGACAGTTGTGACTCCCTCCTGAACTTTGGGTCCTGAGTGAAGGTGGTAAAAGAACTGAACGAGCTCCTCCCCTGTCAGGAGCTTGCTGTCATTAACCACTTGGCCACGCCCCTTTCTCTCCCGCCCCTCCTCGCCTTCTGGTCCACACCCATTTTCTGCATCACTCTCCTGTCTTCTGTTGGCACTTTCTGTGCTCACTTCCGCATTGTCTCCCGTGTCGTGACTGGCAAATCGTACAGCTCTGGACGAGACAGAGTCCACCAATTCGTGCAGGTTTTGATCTGTTTGTGGACAGTCTGGACTGTTCGTTTCTGAATTGCTTGTGTTCTGGGTCTCGTGGTGATGACCAGTTCTTTCACCAACGTCAGCCGATTCAGTGGTTGTCACAGAGGAAGTTGGAGGAGCTTCTCTGTTCAAGGGAGTATCAGGGTGGGTTGATAGTTGTGATACATCAGGATCAGGTCCCAGCCTCGGAGGTTGGAAGGAAACATCATCATCGCCGTCCTCTTCGTCTGCGGTGTCCTGGTCAGACTCTGAGGATCGCTCTTCTTCATCTTCGTCTCCATCACCCTGGTTCTCCTCAGCAGCCTGCAAAAGGAAAATTTCGAAGGGCTGTAACTTTTGAAAGGTCTGTGTTCAGGTACCCCACTCAGTAGTGAAAAACACAGACTATCTGCCGCCAGTGGAGGGCGCTTCACTGGTATGCCACAATTTCCCACATGTACCAGGTGATGATAAGACACGTTCACCAGTGATGCAAGAGCCCCCAACCACTAGACTGGTTCTCGATCTCCCTCTTAAAGCCTGGAATATAACGCAGGGAGTGTATACCAGACTGTCTTAGCATTGTGCTCAAACAATCTCAAGCACAAGTAATTTCAATCATTACTGCTGAAACCCATGAGAAAATTCTTCAAAGTTTCAGCCTCGTATCAGACAACTGGATATTTGTGAAGCAAGAACAGAGCGGTGTTGAGGTTAACTTAAGCCTGAAGCTGATACAGAGATGAAATTGAGGCTTGCAAAACTTTCACCATCAGGTTAGAGGTTAGTTTGATTAATTTTCTTTAAAAAGTCAGAATAGCCAAAGTGTCAACAACAACAAAAATCCAAGTTTTTGGACTTTTGCTTCTTTTTTCGGGGCAGGGGGGGTCTTTACTAGTTAGATAATGAATTTAGCTTGGAGTCTAGTATCCCGACTACTCAAACAATTTCACCCACCTCTAGTTTGATCCTCTCCGTTTCAAGGACTGCTGACCAGAAGGCGACCTTCAGCCCCTGTTGGGAGAAATAGTCAGCCCACTGCTGCCTCTGCTGTGGAGTTAGTAGGTCAGCCTTGCTGATCAAGACCATGTTCTCCTTAGTGCTGCCCACCTCTTTCACATACTTCTCCTACCAGCAAAAGTTGATTTAAGTAAACATTCAGAACTGTTGTTTTTCATCGGTTTTCACGCATAGTTTTGAAACTGAAGAATATGGGCATTTCGGAAAATAGGTTCAAAATGTCCGTTATGGTCATGTAAATAACACAAAGCAAAATGTACCAATAAAGTCCCATTGGAAATACATCCCAAAGAACTTTAAGTATTGTGCATTTAAGTATTTGCATTAAATCGATAATGCACCTTTCAAATTCAACAGTCCAAGACTCATATTATGATCCAACCTGCCACCTTGAATACAGCAAACTACACTTTTTATCTATCGGGCTACAGTCGTTTCGAGAATAGAAGTCAACGTCTTTTGCAAGTTTTAAAAAACCCTTTACTGACCAAATCTTCGCAGCGGAATAGGAGAGGGTTGCGAGCGTCCACTATCTGGACAATGATGTCACTGCGCTCGATGACTCGCCAGAGCTGACGCCAGAATTCCAGATTGCGCTCAAACGGCGTCATGACCACGTGTTCCTTCTCTTGCAACCTGCAGTGCACGACCAATTTCGGGCCTTACATACAAATACAGATCTTTGAATTTGTTGCCTATTTTTTGACGTGAATTGGCGAGTCGTGGACGTGTGTGAATAATATGTGCCTAAAACAGCACGGTCCCTTCCCGGGTTTTACAAAATTCCTCCAACCATTTGCACGCTGCGATTCTTTTGTAGAAGTCACCCCCGGCACTTAACCCCTACCTTCCAAGCTTTGTTCACTATTTCACTCTCTGACACTTGTGTGCATCATAGTTGTTGCAGCACACTACAGCCATGCAGGGTACCCAGATACAGTGGGGTTGGCAGAGTAAGGTCACATGGCGTGCACGTCTCCACACAGAGACTGATTCCACAAAGAGTGGCGCTACGTGCGATGAGGGGGGGGAGTGCCCAAAGGGAGACTGGGGCTCAGGTGACTATCCCCCCCTCCCCCGAGGTGTTTTGGTCTTTCTAAAGAAAAAAACGAAGATCTACTCTGCACAAACATCTAGAACTGTTTTCTCTGATCACAGCCATAGATGGCAGTCTCCTGTGGTGCAACACGGGGGGAGGGGTGCTTGAGCATCATGAGCTATTTTGGGCTGAATTCTGGTCCGAGCCCCCTTCCCCCCACGACAAATCCTGGATGTGCCGTTAATCAGGAGTAGTACTTACAATGCCAGTTGACGGCGCCATTCCAGGAACGATTCTCGCTCCCTCTGGGCAAGTTGTTCTTTGGTGGTGCCGGCATCCCATTTGGGCCTGATGAGGAAAACCACAGAAATTTCTTGAGAAAGTTAATCGCCGGGTCGGAGCACTTTCGGCACCAACCTGAAAGTCCACATTTTCAAACAAGCTAGCCAAAAAAAACCCACTGTTTTCTGGCTACAGGGACCTAAAATACACAAATCTAAAAATTGAGAGGGAACAGACATTTCGGTCATAGCAGAATCTTTTCCAAAAGACCTTTGGGAAAATATTCTATAAGGAATCAATATGTGAGGCCCTTTTTTCAAAAAAACATACAGTTGAGACTTGTTTTTCCTTGCACTATTACATCCCAAGGTTACCACGATGCTGTCACTTTCCACAACTAGTTTTCAGGAAGTCACCCTACCAGTCATCAGAGGGATAAGGCCTCCTTCAGGCTCACAACTTCTCTAGACCATCACAACCAGTCTTTTCTTTTTATTCCGAGTTCCTTGTTATCATTGTCGTCCTCGGCACTGTTTGTTTAGACCTATTCTTCATCTTGATTTCTTACGCACGTCGCCTGTGACGTCACTCGTGCACCATCCTAGTACAGCTAAAAATAGCTGGATAAAGATTAACATCTCGAGTCTCGAGCTTTCATTCTTGTGCTGGAATTTTGTTCAGGATTTTTCTTACAAGTGCATCATTTTATTCTGATATACACAGCTTATTTTGTCAGACTTTGACCGCAACTAGGGAATTTTTCACAAGGGAGCTGACTTCTGTCTCCACAAATGCTTAACTCTCAATCTTTTTCATGTCAGATAACTGGTGTTACATGTACATTCACATGGAGTTCTATTCAATCGGTACCGTGAATAGTTCCGTGAAATGTAGGTATTGAATAAAAATGAATATTTAAATATTCAGTTGAATGGAAGGTGAATATTCAAATCCTAAATTATTCAATTTGGCTCAGCCCTATGGAGAGTCGAGGTGTTACAGCAGCGTGGAGGCTTCCAGTCAACCATCCTGTCCAACTCCCCCCCTTCTCCCCAACCAAAGATTTGACACCACCAGGGTGTGTTTTGGCCCGCTCACCGTCTGGGAATGCACAGGAGGTCTTTGTTGAGTTCTTGTGCCTCCAGTATGGCTTTGGTCTCCTCAGCTGATGGAAGGCCCGAGTCGTTGGGGTCAACCACACGGATGTTCTGCCTCTCTGAAATGGGAAAGAAAAAATGCACTCTGAATGATCTTTGGGTTCACACACATTCTATGCCTACAGTTTTCGGACTCATTTACAAAACACAGCTTGTACACACGTCTCAAACTAGAGCTAGTGCCTTGTATATAGGCAGTTCACAGAAAAGGATATTGGCCATTTCTTCAGAGTTTTGGGTCTCTGAACTTCCCCTATATCCCACTGACATTTGATCAACTACTGTTTCCCACAAAGACTTGCTCAACAATCCCTAGGCTCTTGTGCTTTAGTATCCCCTGAATAGGAGTGGAAAACGGATGAAATACATTTCTTCCGTGTTCCCCCAACCAAAGTTGGATAACGAAGGTGCCTTCAAGAGTATATGCCCCCCTTACTTTTTGAGGGGAAGGACAGCTTATTAAATCATCTTCTCCTCTCCCACTTTTTCCTAGCGTGAAAAAAAAAAATCAGGCGGATTGTGAAGAAGTTTTCAAACTTCCCAACAACCAAAGTGTGTTCAACAGTACTCAAAATATACCCAGCAAGAAATGAGACCGAGGGGTACCCCCCCCAACATGTCCAATCCCTATACACATTCCAGACTATTGTTTCTTAACACATCCCAAAGATGTCTGAAAGGAATTCCCCAGATTCCTGCGAGACAATGACCAACACAAAGCAGGGGGGGGTTCTCTCTGTCTCATACCTTGCTGCATATGACTCAAAAGGGAGAATAAAAAAGCCATAAATACACTGCTGTGATGTAAGATTATACGGGAAAGTAATACATATTACAGATGTACGAACACCTGCTTCTCCAACATTGCGCCCACATCGTGTCATATGGTGTCAGCACCTTCCCCACATCCTTTTCAGATTTCCATAGCTTCCCAAGTCATCCCCTCAATTTCTGGCGCGTATTTTCGCCACTGCAGACAACGGATGGGAAGGCAGTTCAGGGAGGCTCTCACCTGCTGTGAACTCGGTCCCTGCCAGCTCAGCCGTCAGGAGGAAGTCGTCCAGGTGGCTTTGCTCCGTGACTGAGTTGAGGTTGAGACGGCCCCAGTCGTAGCCATCGTTGAGCTCGCTTGTGTGGAGCTGCAAATTCACACCACAGTAACACACACTGGGTTCAGAAAAGTTGGTCACCAGAATTTCACCAAAAAAGAAACTTTGGGGTAACTGCGGGTGAGGAAGCCATACAAGGCCTGTAGACTGGTTCCCATAGCAGCTGCTTTCCTGAAAAGATGGGTCTTCAATACATGTACGTCTTTCCTACATACATGTATATGGTTGTGGGACCCAGGATACAGAGGTAGACTACTGCAGTGCTGGCCCAGGAATGATTTGGTACACGTACATGTACGAGTTGACCAGAACCCACTGGCTCTTGAATTGCCCTTGGGTAGCTAAATTCAGTTGTAAACTTCAATTTCCTCACCTTTTGAAGAGCTGATGAATGCTTAGGGTAAAACTAAAAATATGCCCACACAAGATGACATGGTATGCATGACTCTGGAAGCCAGACGCAATATGCCTCTGTACATGTATGTATGTTGAGTTCAACAATGCACAAAATGAAAACAGGCCTCGAATTTCATTTTGTTTTAGGGCACTGCCATGTGGCATTGATGGATTGGCTGAAATAAAGGGCACTAATGCCAAACGTGAGGGCATTAATGCCATCAGCGTACCAAAATTATGGGCATTGATGCCATCCCAATTTTTTCTTTAAATTGCATGAAAATCAGGTATTCATTCAGGCTTATGAAAAAGTAGGATTTGCATCATACCTGAGCATATCCGTGATTAGTGCCGAACCAGCAGCCGAGTGTTGAAAGGCTTTGGCCTGTTTTGACTGCAGCCGTTCTTTCCTCGGCGTTTTGCCTACCACAAAACTGGCCAGGCCAGTGATTTTGCTCACAACAATGTACGTGAGAATATACCGTGAACGCGTACAAGTTGATGAGCACTTAATTCTAGACTAACATTACTGCATGGTACGTTAAAACGTTGGCTTGGGCATGCGCTGTTATGTTAAATCGTTGGATAGGCCGGCAGGTGTTGCCTATATCGCGCTTGCGATCTTGCAGTGTGCATGGAGTGGGCCGGGCTGCCAGTGCGCGGCAGGCTAAGTGTACAATATCCCCACATACACACAGTGCACACACACCCTGCATATGCATACATGCCATGCATTTGGGTGGCGCGGTGCGGTGTTCCGGTCGAATGTGAGCAATCAAGGGACGTGTATGCCGCTTTCCATGCCGCTTTCCCTGTACCTCGCTGAACGGGAGCAATCGATATGCACGTGTAGGGCACTACAGCCAAGAGAAAAAAAGGGCACTGCCATCTTGGCGGTGGAACACGGTCTTTTTTCGGAGGCACCACAGCCAAAGGAGAAGATTAGGGGTCAAGTGACGTAATGTTCAATGACCTTATTTTAAAGATGGCGACTGAGAGAGTGAGCCCGTTAGATTGAATGGATAAAGGCAAAAAGACTGGAAAATACCTGAATAACACTAAGTGAAATCATTTAAGAAATGGTTTTTAGAAAGCAGAAAGGTCAAGGATCATGTCCGTGTGCAAAATAAATTGCATCAATGATGATAAGTGGGTGCGCCAAAAATGTTCAGTACACCGACACGAAATTGCATATACGGATGTGTGGCTAAGGATGGATCGGGAGTGAGAGTCCGTGCCACACTAGTGGGGCTAGCTGGGCACATGCACAATGGACCTGTGTGCTGTAGCTGTAGTTGGGTCAGCAAACTATAGTATAGGGTAGCACTCTTCTCTACTACTAGTTGGGCCCGTCCTAACTATAGTGCTGCAGTTGGGCCGGCCCAACTACAGCAGAGGGCCGGCCCAACTACAGCAGAGGGGTCCAGTATGCATGATGTGACCAGCATGTGCCAAAGTCATATTGTTTACAAATATCATGTCATTGGTCATAGGGCTAGATGAACAGATGAAGTGCCACATTTTAGATGAATTGTGTCACGTGTGAGACACATTGAATTGGATAATGTTTAGACATTTTCCACAGACATTGGTCAACAATAGTCAGGCCAGCCCAACTGCAGCACTACAGTTGGGCCAACTATAGTTGGGACTGTCCCAACTGTAGTTGTATACTGTCCCAACTGTATGCTGTAGTTGGGGCGTAACAGTACTACTACTAGTAGTAGCCTACTAACATAGTCAGTGCCTATTTCATGCAGGGCCCGCCGGCCATGGCATGGGCTATTCACTGTGCATTAATTCAGTATTTGGCATGTTTGGGTGGGCATGGTCAGATGGTAGGGGGGATGGCAAATTTAAAACTCACCTAGCCCCACTAGTGTGGCACGGACTCTCACTACCGCTCCATTGAGAGAGAGTCCTTGCCACACTAGCATGACTAGTGTAGTGGAGTGGGGCTAAAAGTAAAACTCACCCAACTAGCGTCTGCGTCTCTATGCTGGTTAGAAGTCTTGAATCGGTCCCTTATTATACTCTTACCCAAAACATTACGATTCTTTTTCTTTCCCATTTTTGTAAGACCAAGGAGGATAGGTAAGACTGAGTACAAAGAATAAATTCTTTCAGTTTTATAACTCAAATATTGGTTGTGCAACACAACATATCATGATGCACGTGAATGAATGAATGAAAGCTTCCCAGATTGGTTCCCAACGTAAAATGCGTACTACATGTATGCATTCTCGCCCACTTGCGTTTAGTACCAGTGCCAAATCGCTTGAGTCACACCTCATGAGGGCGCTATTTTATTTGTTCGAAGCGGGGATTTTTAACTTTAAAGGCATGGAGTTTTAAGTAGTTGTGTCGCCAAATATAAAGTCAGCAAGAAGACTAAGCATTGCCTATTATCCATGTTTCATAGTCTTAAAAAGTTCGACAGGCATGACTTAGCATGAATGATGGCCATAATACTTGATCTAACGATGAATGCCAAACCATTCAATTGCTGGCATGTTATGAAATTATGCTTTATTTCCATACATCATTATAGCAAACTATACATGATACAAATTATGAAAAATATTTAGAGCAGATGGTTAAATAATGTTAAAACACTGACTGAATACGATATTGAAAGTTTCCACAAATATGGTTGGTTAAAACATGAATTTTAGACTGGTACATAGCTTGACTTCAATTTTAAACAACTTGGTTACAATTCTTAATGTAGAGAGTAATGCTAAACTCATAATTTAGAAATTGCATAATGAAATAACTGAATTGAAACACATAGGAGCACTTGGAAAATTTAAAAAACAAAAACAAAACTACAAACACAAAACAAACTAAAATTCCAGAAATCCTGAAAACAAAAAATAAGATAATTCTATCTCATTCTGATCTCTTTAAAAGAGATAGCACAAAAAAAACAGTTCTTCAAAAATTAGAAATCATATGCCTTTCCATTAATTGTCATCAAAATCCCATTTCTATCAGAAAAATGGCATTCTGAATCATTCTTGAGAAAAAGCAGAAAGATAAATACAAGAACAATTATTTCTAACAAAGTTGAGAAACAATTAAGTTCTAAGAAGTGTAAAGTTTACAAACGAGGTGAAGGTCTATGTGAACTGACACTGCGAAGTTTATAGACGAGCATTATATGCCATAAAAAGAAAACACAGGCAACTGTGTGGAACAAGAAATTTTTCAAGAATCTACCATTCACAAGAAGGGGGTGGGGGAAAAGATAAAACCTCAAGGAGTATTGGTCCGCGGAAAGCATTCTCATTACAACTGAGAATGAAATTTTTAAATAAGGGCTCGCATGAAAGTTGAAGGAAAGGTCGGGGGCTAGCCAAACAGGCAACCATAAACCTGATGGAAAGCGGTCAATTCTGATATAGTTTGAGACAAAGAAATGGTTTTCATCTCCTTTTGTGTTTATTTTGGAATGTTTAGTTTTTTTGTTTTTGTTTTTTTCAGGCAGAAGCCACCCTGCCTCCCTCTGCACGGTTTTATGACTGATGTATTTCAGCCCACTGCAGTTGGGCCACGTACGCTGTTTGCTGCAGCTATTTACATGAATTGTATATACACAAACACAGGGTTGGATTGTCCAAAATTCAAGAGAAGGAAATGCCCCACAGTCAACTCAGCCATTTTTCTTTCAGAACTTTATGGAATTTTTTTGGGGGCTGTAACATCTTAGGGTTGCACCGGGATCCTTTCGCTCCTTTTGTTCAGATCTGGCCTGCTTGCTTTGTCTCTAGGGTACAAAACCAACATATCCTCTGCTGGTTACAAAATAATGAACAGACCGGGAAGCAAGTTTTAAAATTCTAGATATCATATTCCTTGTTGACAGGCCTGAAATTTCTGACACACCCTTTTCAACTGCCAACAAGGGAGAAGAAAAAAGGTGTCAACAAATTTAGAGGGTCTGATCAATTTTTCATTCTAACCATCAACTCCAAGATACAGCTTTGAGGAACAATTCGCCAGAATCAAAATGCGCAGTTGTAAATCAGTCACCACAAGTCATGCGGTCTTGAGTCAACTCACGAACTATTTAAATGAAGGTATTCTTCCATCATTGTTTATATCTTCAGTTCTGCAATGACCCTTGAACTGGCCTGAAAATTGACATACGTATTGACACGTCATTGACTTGGGACTGAATCGATTCGATCTCCTTTTTATATTTTAGGAAAGTACTGTCAGTAGGAAGTTTACAGCCAGGTTATGCATTTTATATCACTAAAGAACAAGGTTGTGATTGAAGATTGAAGTTTTTCAAGGTCCTTTCGCTTCCAGATTACGGATGCATTGATAGGTGGCCTTCTGGAGGGAGAGGAACCTTGGATCGTTCCCCAAGCCATAGGGTGAGAAGTGGCTGGATACGTAGCCCATGCCGAGCTTGTAGTGGGGATCAGCTACACACTGCTGGCCCCCCGCACCGGGGTGACCAAATTGCTGACTACCCTGTGAAATCGAAAACAACCAGCAAAAGAAATAACTTGTCTGACACTGTAATACATGAATTTCTCTGGGGTGCAAGTAGGCTCCTACAGAGTCAGTGTTACAGTTCAAGGAGAATTACAGATTATAAAAGAAGAAATTATTAACGAATTCCAGAAGAGACATGGTCACAAATGATAAGAGGGTATACAGCGTTTCATTGTGAAACATATGGACTCATATCATTGGCAGTGTGTACGTGTCAGTGAAGTTAGCGAGGACTGACCATGGACACTATCTACTGAGGATCGAATGTTTTGAGGGTGATTAAAAACATGTACTGGGGTGTAATAGGCTGGGTAGTAACTAACTAAACATTTAGCTAAAAGCCAACGTCATAAAATTGGGGACCAGTGTCTTGGGATACAAAGGGGGGAAACTGTCAGGATGGACCACTGAGAAAATTTATAAGGTCATAATTCTGTCACCACAGGGAGCTTCATCACTGGTCTTGAGTGAAAAGAATGTGGACAGAATTATAGAAGGAGGGATTGGGTAGCTAAAGAGGGAAGAGATACGGGCTTATAATATTAACATAACCGGGTCATTGCTGATGTCGAGTCCATTGCATTGTAATTGGGGGTGCTGCACCCCCCCCCAAAAAAGCCCCCTGGTCACTACACCCCTGTGTGTAAAAATCCGTATGGTGGACTAGGCACAAGCAAGAACAAAATATGAGAAAGTTCTCTCCGAAAAGATAATATTTTTAAACTGGGTACTTTCATTACAAAACAAAATAACAAAAATGAAATTGGATTCATATCATTTTAACCGTTAGATTGAGGAAATACAAAGAAAGTGAGCATTATAAATGCAGGAATAGAGAAAGTCATGCAATAGGGGTGATTCACTGTACAGTACGCCAACAAGCAGTTGTCACAGAGAGGCCATTTTTCAAATTTACGGTCAACAAAAGCATGGCTGCCTTGCCACAATTTGCCTTTGCGCTTATGACACTTGGGGGAAATTTTCGATACAGTGGGACATTCCATGCTACAGAGAGAAGGAAGGATTAATTGAAGCTGCTACTCGAAATAAACTAACAAATCTTCTTCCCTGATAAACAGACATCATCTGAAATAATTTCGGTTTCCTGCCAGTGAATAGAATTTGCCGACCATTTCCCATTATGACTGTTCATAGGGAGTGGGTTCCCATATGTTTTTAATCCTGTGTGTAGGCCATTGTTATGGGGGGGACACATTTTGTGGATGTCGTCGGGGGTTTAATTTTGGATTATCCGAATTTGACCAATTGAAATTCTACGCATGGAAGTATTAAGGGCTTTTTAGAACTTTATTGTAATTTGCATATTTTTGTGTATTTAGTGCAGTGTGCATGTATCTTAATGTATCTCATTATTATTAAAACCTCTATTTGTTGTTAGTTTTATATATTAATTATTTGTACAATCAACTGATAATTAATATCTTGTGTATTTCTGTTAATAATTCTATGTCTTTTTTTTCTGATGGTATCTTAGGAGAGCCACACGATAGTGATTAAGTTCGCTTCTTGGCAGTCCCTCAGGGGTGCTATCAGTTTGTACTGTGTATTTTGTAATTCTCCATGTCCTGTGCTATGTTTGTTGTCTATGTCTTGATACATGTACCTGAGAAATAATAAATGAAATGAAATGAATGAAATTATGCACTTTCCTTGACCACCTCTTGGTGGCGCACTGTATTGTGCTTCAACCACATTTACCTCACACTTGAGCAACAAAAATCCACTTGAAAAATTGGTTTCCACACCCACGACCTTGTCGACGGAGGGTGGGCCAGCCTTTGTCAAAATCCCCTCCACCAGCTCATCAGACAACAACCTCTGCCCATCTGGTGTCTGCCCGCCATTGGCGAGTATCCCATAAACCTTTGCCGCAGCCCTGGCGGTTCCGATGCCAGAGCAGGAAGGGTTCTCCAGTGCCCTCGCTTCAGGTTGGATCAATTTGCTGAACTGTAAGACAGACGGAGACAGACGGATATGGCCAATCACTATCGGTAATAAAACTTAGTATTTATTTCACCGAGCCAAAGGGTTCTGCAGCTGGAATGAGCCCAAAGATGGTCCAAGAGAGGGCGCAATTTTCCTAGCAACAGAGGTTCCTTTGGTGGGAACTGCACTTTGCTGGTTAAAAAAGGATTATGGAATTATTATTATTATTATTCTGATATTGAACCAGGGTAGCCTGTTTGCTACAATATTTTTTCATATTTTTAACCATTTTATAATTCATTTTATCATCAATAAACATTTTCACACTCGCATATTGTCCAGTTGATTTTAAGATTGACTTGTTCTTTGTTCTGGTTGTACGACTTCACTTTTTAAGTTCCCTGTTTTGAATGCATTACACATTTTATCTTTGCTATAGTGCCCTAATAAAAAGGCTGAATAGGTCTATCCTGGATAAAAAACACAAATGGAATTGGATTGTCAAGGACAGCTCTTGAAAAAACCTATTTAAAGTGCACAGGCCCAGTAAATTTGTGTTCCTCAATTTCAGAAAGGAATCTTGACTAAGCCTGAAAACCTGCCCTGTGCATTTGGCAGACTGACCTTGATGAGATCGGTGGATTTATGGATGACCTCGTGAATGAAGCTCCGCCCCGTCAAGAATGCCCAGACGATATGCCACGACCCGACGTCCCGGGGGATGTAGCTCAATCGGAGAGGGGAGTCTATGATACCGGTCAGCCGGGCTACACGGTAGTTCAACTCCAAGGGAAGGCCAATGTGTATATCAATGTCTGAATGTGAAGATAGTCACCAAAAAACTTTTAACAGGGTGAATGTAGTTGCTGAAAGATGGGAACTAGACTTATGGGTCGTGTGACTAGAGGTTTGGGGCTTAACACCCTGCTATCAAGTAAACAGTCTGTGTCCACTGGCAAGTTACAAATTACCATTGCAAATACAAGTGCATTCCTTAAGCACACAGTAAACTTCAAGCCGAGGGTTCGACAGAATCTAGCGAAACAAGGCCCCATTGGATGTTATCCAAAGTTCCCTTGAATGAAATCTAGATAGATTCCCCCACCAATTTCTTATTCACGGATTTCTAATATGAACTTGCCAATGTTCTTACTGGCATGCAAGAAGTTTTCCGACAGAATTCTGATTTGACACTATTGAGAATCTCAATCATATTTCACTCATAAGATTCATGTGTAATCTTCTAACATTCTTCAGAGCATGGAGGAAGGACACAGAAGGAGTTTGAACTGCCCGGGCTACAACATCTGGCCAAGTACCGCTTTCTGGCATGCCCGGTATGTCCATAGCCAGAGCACAGCGCATGCTTGCTACGCACCACCTGTTTCACAACCATGAGCCCCCTTTGTACCCCATGATCATCGCGGCAATTTTTTGCTGGTAATCTGCATCATTAAAACATTGTGTACTGTAGTATAGGGAGTTGAACATTCATGCCATCGTTGGTGCTTGGTATGATCTGACAACCACATCTAATTGAATGCTTGCGCAGTTGCTTGTATTAGGCTGTGTGACGTAAGTGTTCATGTGCAGTTATTGCCCTTATCAAACGCTTTCTTCTGGACTTATTTGGGGATAAATAGCCACGTTGTTTATAAGATCTTGTGTTTTATTTGAAACATTTTTATTACTGAATATACCCAAAAGGTATTTTTATGAGATTTCATGATCACTCCTTGTGATGAAACAGCACATTTTGTTTTTTGTTAACTTATCTGTCCTGTGGTGGTCAACATGTTGTTGGCCAGTTCTAACCAAATTCGTAGAAAGACTTTGAAAACTGATGCTTTGGAATGACAAAATAAAATAAAATAACAATCATTGCATGGAAAATGGAAAAGTGCACCAAATTTTTTTTTTAATTTATTCACGACGGCAAAAGTAAACTTAATGCTAGATGTATTCTTTCTATTTCCCGGTCACTGCGACAAGTTGCAGTTAACTGCAACGAAAATTCCACAAATATTGCTAGGATATTTGCTGGCCCCACTTGTCCGGCTAAGCTGTAGGCAGTAATCAGGCATTTTTGGAATGTTTACTATAGTTCATCTGACCGGGCGGAGATGATCATCAAGCATTTTGATGTGCCAGAGTTGTTACTCCTTCTGTGTCCTTCCTCTATGTTCAGAGAAACATACATGTGAGAGTGAGGCCATGCCTATGGCTGTCGCCATGGTACCAGTGTCACCAGGAGTTTATTCCTGGTTGGAAGGGGCAAAGTACTAATCCGCAATCAAACCGACAAACCACCGGTATAGAGGAAGGGCCACCAACTCTGTGCCCTCACCCCATCCCATAATGCCCATGACTACTCACAGTTGTGTACAGTGGCAACATCCATTGACATGACAAAGTTATGGACAGCGTCCTAGTGCCTTAACACTTGGCTCTCATAACTGTGACAAACAGCGCCCTCTATGGTGCAAGCACCAAGCCTATAGCTCTTCCCACCACTAGCCCCTACAGTTCTTTAACAGTCCATTACTGTCTTCCTTTCAGACAAAGAAATTACTCAAAATCTGAAAAAGCATGTCTAAGAGCAAACCTGACGAAGTTTTACATGTAGCTCAGTGAATTATTGAAAAAGAGAATTCCTTGCCATCATTACCAAAAGGATCAGCAACTTCTTCCTTGAAGAACTGGCCCAGGGTCCTGTGCTGGGGGTCAACGCGCATCAGGAGCTGGCTGCAGTACAGGCCGAAGGTGAAGGCGTGGTAGCCGTGACCTACCCCTGGGGACCAGCGAGGCGGGGACTCGGCCAGCAGTCGGCCCAGGGCATCCTGGTCCTTCAGCTGTCGAAGGCTGATTGGCTGAGAAGTTGCAGCCAGCCCAGCCTAAAGTTTAAACCCAAATAAAATAAAAAATTCACCAATGGAAACATGTTAAAAGTCATAATTATTATTGACTAATTAAAAATATCGTGATCAACTATCTTGCTCAGGGACACCTATCACTCTTCAACATAAGGGTACAGATGCTTTCCCAGATGTTTTCATCTCAGAGTTATGTTCTAATTTTTAATACAATCTAAATGTGATTACAATAATAAGCCAATTTAGTATAAATTTCAGAAAAGCAAGGTTACTCAGGAAAAAAGCACTTGCACGAGTCCACATAGGGCAGACCCTGCACGTGCATCCGAATGACCTGAGACACATTTCATTTCGGGCATGCACTGTTGGAATACTGAACAGGCACACTGTTTTCACCTCGTGGTTGAGCAGCATTCGCACAGTGATGTTTTTCTTGCCATGCTGAGCAAACTCCGGCCAATAAAAGGACACTTTCTGGTCATAGTCAAGAAGTCCCCTGTCCACCAGCATAGCAATACACAGTGCAGCAATTCCTGGAGTCAACAAGGCCAAATAAAAACTGCATGTACCATAATAATGGCTACAAACAATGGCTTACATGCACTGTTTGACATGCACAAGGGTTTGTCCACTACGAACACAGGGCGAGGGTTCCCCTCGTTTTCTCTGTTTTCTTAGAATGACACAATCTGCATTCAGCATTTTCAGAATTCGCATCTTGGCATGAATAGAAAAAAGCCCTTTTTAACAGTTGAGCTCTGAAAACAAATGACTCTCCATTCGATTTGGATGCTTTCGCATTCATTTGAACAGATGAAAATCAGAGAAAACATATTTTCCTTAGAGGTGCTCTTCAAATGCTACAGAGTAAAAAAAAAAGTTGCCCTAAACTGTTTCAAACTATTTTAAATACAAGCTAAATTCAAGTGACTATCAACTCATGAAAAATTATATAACATGTTCATATTGAACCTTTTGGACACTCCCGACATATTTAAAGCAAGACTCAATCAACATGAAGATTTGCAGAGTGTGCAATGACAATGGGGCAATTCTAATGGAACTTTGCCAAAATTTCACATGATGTAACTGTATACACTTTGATAACTTACGAGGGACAGAACACAGCTAGCCCTGAACTTCTGAGACGATCCCTGGAATGATCCACTTAGTTTTGTAATGTTCAAATGGCAAAGATCAGTAAATATTTGCTTCCAAAACATAGTGGTACATGTCATTAATCTGCATACTTATCACACTCATTCTTTGGGGATGACGTGGAGAACCAAACTATGCCATTGTATTCTAAGAAACTTACAAAATGACATACATGTACTTGAGACTGCACTGAAGGCATGACAAATGTCAGACTGTAAGCAATATCCACTTGCCTACAAACGTACAATTAAATTTGTAACAAAGTTTCTTTTGGCTTGATTGGAATTAACTTTAAAAATGTAGAAATAGAAAAAAAAGCTTAAGTCAAAGTGCCGGAGACTGCATTTTCATAAACAAACATGGTAATTACTAACCTTTGGTTGCTGAAAATATCACAGTCATTGTGTCCTCCTTCCACACTTGCCGAACGTCCGTGTCTGCAAAGCCGCCCCACAGGTCAACGACCTTTGACCCCTCATGGTAAACACTGAATGCAGATCCGCCTGTGCTGTGCTCCACCCCAGTCTCAAAATTCTTCCTGCAAGGAGTCAAACGAAAGAATTATTGGAGACTTTTGAAATCTACTCTAAAAAAACCACCACAAAATTCCAATTCTTCAAACCAGATAGAGCCTTGTCACGTCATGAGCCAAAGAGCTGGATTTTACAGGCTACTAGTATTAGGTATTTTGGTGCTCCATTAGGAAGTCTAAAAAAATGTGGGTCCAAATCTGCATGGAACAGCTATAAACAAAATATTTTGCATATGTGCGCTGAACAGAAATCATTTCAAGATGTATTTTTGCGTTGGGGAGAAAATTAAATTTCAAGATGTATTTTGAAATAGTTCGTGGTACCCGCTGCTTCACCTGACTCGGACCAGCCAGCCGACCCCAGCAAACCCAGTGGTCGAGTGGTTGAGACGTCTGCACTAGTAAGCAGGAGGACATGGGTTCGAGTCCCACCCGAGCAAGCTTGTGAATTTTTTCGCAAGCTCTCCAACAAGCACTGAGCATACAGTGTTTATCAATATAAACGTGGGGTAAGGGCAAAACCTGTTATATAAATGAACTGAAATCAACAAGGCAGGTCACAGACAATGCAAATGCATGGTAATTTTGGTCGGTAACCCATTTCTACAGTGCATAGCAAGTTACGACAAATAAAGTCCAAGTAACTTATCACCCGACCACGTCCAAATGTTAAAAAAGGGAATCTGTAGAGTCCAACTTACCTGGACTAAGACAAAAGGACGGCAATTTGAAGTGGAAACTTCATGAACAATAATTTGAAATCAAAAGGAGGTGTTGGAAAGAAGACTGAAAAACCACATACCACAATTACCTTTGATTCTATTTTTCATTTTGAAGAACTTCTTACCATTAATGAAGAGTTGAAAACATCATAACCGACTGTTTACTCTCTCGCGGTATTGCCCTTTATTCACAGACAATAAATAACCCTTGGAACCTTCTATTGCTATGGTTACCATCTGAAGGATTAGCTCTCCAACCCTAAACAGCCTTCTCATGAAACCTGCCAAGATGAATGACCATTATGGGATACAACTGTTGGAAGATGGCCAACCTTGGACATGACACTAAACTACATCATACAACCTGAACAGCTCTGCAACAGGCTCGAATCCCGGCGCCACAAATCCCTGGGTTGGAGGTTGCTTCCTTCGCCACCACACACAGAAGTGCGAGGTCAGCCAGCCAATGACAGCATTGTCAAACAGCGACATCACAGGTGCCCAAAAAGGGCTTGTTGCGCGCTGCATGCGTGTAATCATAGAATTTCTCAGATTGTGTAAAAGCCCACAAGTATGCAGAAAAAACGGCCGCTAGTCTGGAAATCAGATGCAGTGCTGACAAGAGTGGATCAAAGATGGCCCCTACATCGCCACCATCTGCACATCTAAGTCACTGCTTTACAATCACCACCCCTGACCCGACCTACATTCTTTGTACCTTTTTTTTTTAGACAGGCAAGTCCAAAGTCAAGTTTTGTGTACACAAATCCTTTTGTTACACATTCTTCAGATGGTACTTCTTCTGTCCTATGAGCCCCGGCAAGTGCCGGGCAACGACACTCAATCAAAAAGATTTTAAAAAAGCTGCAATTAAAAGCAGTTTCTGAGCAAAGTGGCCTGACCATTGCTCTCCACTCGACTAAAAAAGTTAATTTTTAATTACTGATGAGGGACTGGTTTTAAGCTGAATAGGCTTTGCTATTGCTATTGTTAGATCTATGAGCCATACAGTCATAAATGGTGTGGTTGGGACCAGAGATGTAGGCAAGTACACTGAAAACACTGAATTTACTGCAAGGTATTATAAGATACTAAATAATACAGACGATGAACAAAACATTCATAACAAAAGAAATTAAGGAATTTGGATAATCATAACTACATACACCTGAGTTTTAACACAATAGTTTCCAAGAGTACTTGCCGAGTACTTTCAAAGTACATGCACTTCTAACGCGCCACGGTCGTATTAAGCAGTATAGTTAATATCAAAAATAATATACATTTATACAGCGCACTTATCTGGAAAACCGATCTGGGTACAATCCATTATTATTACCCCTGCTCACTGGGCCTATGAAAGATTCCAAACACTATCTCAGCTCCTTGGGGAGTATACAGCTCGATGCTGCCATTTCAGCGCAAAGCAGCGAAATCAACCACAATAACCATCTCTGCCCTCACAGGTACCCAATTACTCCTGGGTGGAGAGAGGCACTGAGTGCCAAAGTGCCTTGCCCAAGGGCACACGCACCATGCCCCAGGCTGCTTTTGAACCCGCAACCTGCAGCTTCACCCCGCCGACTACGAATCTGACGCTCTTAACCACAAGGCCACAGCACTCCATTGTCTCTCCTCTAGCCACATTTGTTATTTACTGCAAAGTCTCACCGCATATGCAGTAAACGGCTCGGTATTTGGTGGCAAGAAGGTACCGGGTATGCCAAAAGAAGTGGACTGTGACACTATTTGGACCACCACAGAGATGAATGGATCAAAACTACAGGATCTGTGATAACAAGACAGCGAAATGCTCAATTTCGGCTTCTCTGGATTGGGAACTATGTTGATTTCAGTGTTTTTTTTTTCATTATTTTTCACCACGCACGTGAAGAAAATGAACTGGCAGCAAATATTTAAATTCACCACAGTAACACGTTACGGTTTCCTCATTCCCTATTTCACCTGTTGATAAGAGACTTTATTTAGCCCAGATGGCTAATCAAGTACCAGTTAACAATCACTACCTCTGAATAATAAATTTAATTTAAGTTAAAAAATTAACATTCACAAGGCAAAGTAACAGAATTAATGAATCCAGTCCTACATGTTTAATATCTGACATTCAGTGTAGCCCTGATAACAGATACATGTACTTGAACATACAAACTGCTCCATAGCTGTGGGAACAGTGCAAAGTAAGTAGTGCTGAAATGCATATTTGCTGGGGCAAAGAAGTTGTGAGGATAAATTTTTTGTCGCTACCACTCGGTCTCCATTTTTCAAAACAGAAGAAACTGGCCGCTCACTATGGTAACGGCCTCTGTGCCCGACAGCCTGTTTCACATGCAAATCAGCATGCAGGATAAAATTTGGGTACAATGGATCAAGAAGAAATAGATCAAGTTTGAGATCAAACTGAAAATTAGTTTTCACAAAACAAGACAAGAAAGCAAACAAAACATCTCCAACAAAAAGACACTCTTTGGTTTCAACTGTTGTTATGGCCTGGATGCTGATTTCTACGTGTGACAGACTTTGGGCGTTCTGAAAGTGGCAGAGTCAGACAGTTACCGGTACAATCATTGAAGAATTGCTACTAATGCTGAATGATCATTTTTCTTAAACTATCCAAAGAGAGTTTGTGTCATATGGCTTAAAAGCTTGACAAATCACATGTAACATTTACTGACTTTGAAGGAATCAATTCAAAATGAAGTACTCAATATATTTGATAGACAAGTAAAAAGGAGTTCTGTATTAAATTTCACAAAACTGTTTCCACAGGCAAGCTTTATATGCCATAGCACAAATTTAAAGTGATAATAAAAACAATGCTTCTTATAAAACGTTCCCATTGCAAAACGAGCCCAAACAGCAGCTCTTGTCTAACCTAACAAAATCAAAACCTAACGAATCAAAAACTAAAGGGATTGTGAATCAGGAATGTGTACAGGCTAGCTTAGGAACAACACTTTCCTAATGGCAATACAGGAAATTCCTCGCAGTAAAGACACAGTGCTCCATGAAGAAGCATTCTGGTTGGAAACGGGAATGCTCTGACTTTTGAGACGTTCCCTAAATGTGGGCTTCTTTAGTCTCATTTTGTAGGATTTTCATCAATGCCTATTTACACTGGCCTGCTTAAAAAACACCGCTAAGTAAAACATGTTTTCTCTGATTTTATCTGTTCAAATAAATATGGAAGCATCCAAATCAAACGTATGCAGTGTCATTTGTCTTCAGAGCTCAACAGTAACTAGCTATCAAAAAAGCGCTGGTTTTCTGTTCATGCCAAGATGCGAATTCTGAATGTAGATTGTGTCATTCGGAGAAAACAGAGAAAACGAGGGGAACTCTTGCCCCGTGTTCATAGTGGATTATCCCTTGGGCGTGCCAAACAATGCATGTAGCCATTGCATTACAATGCATGTAGCCATTGTTTGGCATGAACAAGATTTTATCCATTACCAACACGGGGGGGGAGGATTCACCTCATTTTCTCTGTTTTTTCTGAATGACGCAATCTACATTCAGAATTTGGCATGAACAGAAAAAAAAGCCCTTTGTAGCTTATTACAGTTGAGCTCTGAAGACAAATGACACCAAGTTCGATTTAGATATTTCATATTTATTTGAACAGATAAAATCTGAGAAAACGTGTTTTCCTTAGAGGTGCTCTTTCAGGAAAAATATTTTCTTCTCCCTGAACCTTGCACAACCCAGCTGCATTTAGAATCAGCTGGTAACTTCAAGTTTTTCAGACAGAACAGTGACCAACAACTTGAGTACAGAGTTCCCAGATTTCCAGTTTACCGACAAAGGAACCTGTCAAATTTGCCAGGCTGCTGTTGTTGGGTATTGCTTGGCTTGGCAAGGTTGCTGGGAGAAAATTTCCACAGCCATTTAGGATTTTGGCTTGACAAGTAACACCACATTTTTTCAACCCCAGATTAAAAAAAGAGCAGTTTTATAAAGAATTTCCATAAATGGAACCCTCCCCCCCCAAAAAAAAAACCCTCAACCCACAACTCCATAAAAATTGTACTTTAAAAGTTGCATAAAAACATTCTGGCCATAAATTCAATACACACACAACAAAAACCGCAGAAAAATGTACAGTGATCTGTGTTACAACACACCTCGGCTGTTATAACAATTAATACACATTTCAAACGGTATTCAAGAAAACAAAATACTATGGAAAGTTCAAAACAAATTGCTAGTCCTGTACTGATGAGCTTCTGCGGCATATTTCCCTCTCGTCAAATTCCATTATTTACATGTTCATGAAACATTTTTACATTCAAGGTTTAGAGACACAATTCTAAGATTGGCTAGGAGAAAAATACCACTCTCATCTTAAAATTCTGTGATGTACATATATGTTGTCTAGATTGGCTACCAATAGCCTGAATACTACTCCTACGCTAATACAGCTGTTGGGAAATTGATCTCGATAGGAATTGAACATTTCCAATGTTTAGTTTTACTCAGTGTAATAGGATCTACATTAGAGGGTTAATTAATTGGAGCTACAGTAGTTAACTACAGTTTGACCAATGTTGCCTGAATGATGGATGGTTTGGACCATCTGGTTAACCTTCTGTAACCAGGCCCTGGGGCGTGGTTGCATCACCGGTTATCAAAGGTGATTTCATTCATCAATGTGGGGAGAACAATTCACAAGAAAAGTAATTGTACGAGATATTGATGTCATTGAGCATGAAGGCTGAAAAAGATGCAGCCTACAGTGAAATATACGAGGACTAAATTTCAAAACATAGTTCAATTGCGGTACTTTGAGTGTGATTCTATTGTGGCCCTGAATCATTGTAAAGTAATTGACAGGTGGTCAACTATAGCTTTCCCCCCGAGCTTGCCCAAAGCTGGCTCAATGTGAGTTGCATTTTAAGGAGACTCACCATCGAGTAATGAGAACCATAACTTGGGCAGTCACTCCGATCCCAAATTGTCCAACTTCAATTTAATTTTGCGGAATTTACTCATGTCTGTTATTTCAAAAATTCAAATCATCCTTTTATTTTGTCCTGACAATGTCCTTGAAGAGAAAAATTTAGGTTATCTTCATATCTGAAACAAAAAAAAATTATGAGGTATATATCGTTTCGTACCAAGCTACAATTGTACACGTACATGTGACTGAGGCCTTAAATAATGAGGTTTCAAGTTCATTTGTGAATTCGCATTGCAAAACTGGCAAAATATTACACATTCTCTTCCAGGAAATATTCATCACTATGTTGGTTTCTGAAAAAATCTTGACAACTGTATGAGTAAAACTTTCTCCTCTACTTGGGCGACAGTTGAACCTTCGACCTTTGGCTGACTACAACTGGCATTGTGACCAATCCAATGTTACACTCTGTGACTCAAAATTCAGTATGGTGACCTCTTACTATTGCATAGACATGCAACAGGAATGCTTCATTGGGACCTGACTGATGTGGGTAGCATGCAAGGAGAAACCCTCCTCCCTATAAATGAGCTGACGCTCACTCAAATAATGTCTCTTCACCTGGTTCCCTCAACGGGTTTTTTAAACTTTGGTTGTTTTGGTTTGGTGCAGTTTTTTGGGGGGAGGGGGGTTTCCCAACACTGTTAAGGTTAAAGAGCCAAATCTGCCAAAATCCATCAGAGCAAGATTTCCATTGGTGGACAAACTCACATCCTCGCATAAGTTGGTCAATCAAGTGGTTTGTGGGACCAAGCAGGGTCAGTTTCCTTGTTGTATGACACTGAGGCAAATTTGCACAGATATCATGGCTGAATTTAGGAGTCCAGGGGTTGGGATTCTGGCAGATTTTTAGGCAATTTACAATGGGGATAAAGACAAGTAGTCACCCAGTGTCCCACGGGACCTCTTCTGTCTCATTTGCTTGACATCCTTCACTTGGACTTATCTGTTTCGCCATTCCTGAAAAAAGAAAGAGCCCAAGAAGAATCATAGCACCGCAACCTTTGCAGAGAAGGGTTTCAAGTGACAAGTCATTGCTAATGTTGTTCACTATCTACCTACTGTACATCCTGGGGTTCCTCTGCTGCTTTTTTGGCGGCTCGTTCCAACTTCTTGAGGCGCGGCAGGATGGCAAACTGATAGAGGAAGGGAAAGCCGACTACCACCAGGGTCGGGATGTGATACACTGCAGAGTACACCTTCAGGACAGCAAAAAATCAATAAATTAGTCAACTTCAAATATGCATATTCATGAGGTCGTGAGCACCAGTCTAGGGTTCTCTCCAATCCAGCAACATGATACCAGTAGGTTGGAATAAGGTGGCATTGAAATGAAAACCCTCCGATAACTTCTCAAGGGGTGCATGAGGCCTAGTGGTCAAGGTTTGCAACTCTTGAACAGAGGGTCAGGGGACTGAACCCAACTGCTGACCACTGGCTCCGGCCTCGGGAAAGTCACGTCATCCCTGCTCGTGTCCCCCCATCCAAGAGTACAAATGGGTACCAACATCAGCTGGGGAGCAACCTACGATGGACTGGCATCACATCCAGGGGGAATAGAAATATATTCAGTCATTTCTTGATTAGGCGACTAGAGATAAACACAGCCCTGATGATGCCGATGGTACGGCACAGACTTACATGTAAAGCAGTAGCACAGAACATTGACGAATATAGAAGTTTGCAGCAAAACTGTAATTATTGAACATGGGGCTTGATGACGTTCAAGTGTGGCAAATGCAGATCAGTTCAAACAATTTCTTCGCATGGACACAACCAGAACTAACAAAATATGTCTTGAAGCTGCATTTTGGAAATTTCATTTTCATTTGCTTTAGAAAAAATTGAGCTTTTTGTTTTAAAGCATTGTTCAGTGCAGTACAGTGCCGAGAATAAGCAATTTATGGGTGACAAAATGTTAGAATTTTGTTTTGATTTGTAAGATTGCAAGATTCCTCTGCAGACCTTTAACTGAAAAAGGGGCTCCCGGGGCTTTTTTGTGAAGTTCCATCACACTTGATGTTTACAGGTAAGCGTTCTTTATCAACAGCAACGTTATGTCTTTTCATCACTGACGAGGGCCCAATTATGAAGATGCACGTAGTCTGTGAGAATGTTCTATGCACGAAAACAGCAAACAGATACGGCTTCAGGTGGAATTCTTGTCAAAAGCAAAGTGGATTTGTCTGTCAGCTTACCAGGCGGATCCTTCGCCAGCGTAGGAGGACAAAGCTGACAAGGGGATAGCCAACGAACAAGGAGACGTTGAACTTGAGGTACGCGAAGATGGGGAACTTGAGGGCGGGATTGTTGACGAGCTTGGCGAGTGGGGGGTATCTCTTGACGGCATCTTGCACCTAAAAAACCAAAATTCTGTTCATTTTGGATGAAATTCTGCATGATGTATCATTGATGTGCAAAATCAAAAGTTCCATCCCCTGCAAGAGCCCACATTGTAGGGTTTCAGGCTGAGCTGGTTTGGAGTGGAGTTCTGTGCTAGAGTCCCTTGAGATCAGTGCTTGAGGTGTACTTGAGTGGTCAGTAAAATAAAATAAGAGATTCTAAGCTTAGCAGGAATGTTCAGGTGCATTTTGACGGCCTTTACACATTAGATGTGAAAATCTCACAGCAAAACAACAAAATGACCATAAACAGTTTACAAACATAGCACGCTTTGAGGATAAATAGTCCTGTTTAGCTCCTCGAGATACCCGAAGTTGACAGACTAGTTCCCAAGACAAAAATCAAGCCGAAGGATAGATTTTTGTTTCACTGGACCTCAGACATAATTCACTTCATTCAGTTGACATTAAAATGTCGGGAACAAGGAAAGGCAGCATACATGTACATATACACGTCCGTGTGGTACTGTGTGTTGATTGTGTAGTGAGCACACAGTACAGCTAGGGCAATGTTATGAGCATACTTCATCCGTGCCCAAGGTTCCGCCCCATCAGTATGCTAGCATATTTGACTTGAGGGGGGATCCATGCAAGCGCGCCTGGCAAACAGGAACAACAGAGACTGGCACGTGATGATGAATGGACCAGCAGGAGTTTGGCTCTCAATCATGAATATGTATGAGGTATGCCAATTGTGACCCGCTCTGCAAAAAAGGGTAATAAGTAGCGCAATTCCAAAATGTATTATGGCCTGTTCTATTTGGAGAGGGCAAAATGTCTTCAAAAATGTGATTTTGTGTTTTTTCCTCTGTTAGCTTGTATAACATTTATGTTTTCAGAATTTGTGACAACAAACATGGATACTGATGAAAAAAGATGAAAAATTGATCATTCAGTAGGAAATCCTGCATAGCATTGTGTTTCCAAGTGCTACACTTTCTGAGCTTTTTCTCGAAAAGTGCTTTTATTGAATCCGAAAATGTGGATATACATTGTGGAATGCAGTGCACTACAGGGGTCATTCTTAAATCAAATTGTAGCTTTTGATGTACTCAATCCAGCCATAGCAAAAACTGATCACCCGAATCTGACAACTTATTACCCATTTTTCTAGAGCCGGTCCCAATTACAGATGACAAAATGGCTATGAACATTCTACATGTACGTATTTAACCACTGTTTGCATGTGAAATCTCTCAATTGATGCATTGGGGCAATTTTAGAAAAAAGTCTACAACTCCGGGCATGCTTACAAATGCCTCTGTGGTCGTGACAAAGATCTCCAGGCCAAAGCATATATAGTAGCCGATGTACATGCCGTGCCAGACGGCGAGAAACATGACAGCCGCCGTCTGGGAAATGTAGCGGTTGTTGAGAAACTTCAGCCTCTTGAAGACATACCTAGTGGAAAGAGCATTAACAGAAAAGTATCGGACGGACGCTGTGTTTGAGGATTGTGTGGTAACTTGACATGAATTCCAACCAAATGGTAAGCCATTGTTTGGAGTGGATCACTTCTGAATGGACTTGCACCTCAAGTTTTTAGAATCCATGCAAAGCTCTTACGAACAGCATTAATCGCATACACAGACCTAAATCTTCAGTATAATATTTTTAAAGGAATCAAGCATTTTCAAATGTAGTTAACTGAAGCCACAATCCTTAAACAATCGATTACAAATTGTCCACTACGTAGTCAAAAAACTTATTATAGACTAATCCGAATAGACGCCATAACAGCGGGAGTGCTGCACTCGCACGCACAGTCTTCAGTTTGACGCGGGGGTACATTAGGCAAATCGCAACACTCCACTGGTCGCTAAGGCACAGTTATGGCTTCTAATTCTCGTTGTCAAATTACACTATAGGACTTTAAATTCAAGGGGACAGGTATCAGATAAGGGATGTGAACCCAAAACCATCACAATGGAATTTAGACAATTGAACCCTTGCCAGATCCATGGCAAAAAAAGTCACATCACTAAGTAAAACCTCCAGCCTGAAGACCGCTGAACCCTTACCACATCCATGGCAAAAATGTCACATTACCAAGTAAAACCTCCAGCCTGACAACTGCTAAACCCTTGCCACATCCACGGCAAAAATGTCACATTACCAAGTAAAACCTCCAGCCTGACAACTGCTGAACCCTTGCCACATCCATGGCAAAGAAAATCACACTACCAAGTACAATCTCCAGCCTGAAGAACCGAAAAACAACCATCAAAACAAAAGTCAGACTGCTTCAACGGCTCAGCTCTCAGAAATGTACATCAACCTGCAAACTTCCTCATCACAAAACAAAGAAAAGATTAGGCAGCAAGACTGGAGAGATACTTTTACAAGAGATTAGGCATTATACGGACATGTTACATTACAGTAGTGGAGTTGGAACCCTAGACACTTGGACCGGTGGTCCAGATGAATCCCAACTTACCTTGACACCCAAGTGTTGGTGGTGAGGTTGAACGACCTGATATACTCTGCCGTGTGCGTGGACGTCTCAAGCTTCCATGGCTTGACGCTGGCACAGGCATCCCACACTGCATTGCCCTTCTCGTCCTTTCCATTGTAAGCCAGGCCACTCATGATGCAGGCCCCCTCCTTGACATAAAAAGAAAACCTTTTGTTCCANTTAATCGCATACACAGACCTAAATCTTCAGTATAATATTTTTGAAGGAATCAAGCATTTTCAAATGTAGTTAACTGAAGCCACAATCCTTAAACAATCGATTACAAATTGTCCACTACGTAGTCAAAAAACTTATTATAGACTAATCCGAATAGACGCCATAACAGCAGGAGTGCTGCACTCGCACGCACAGTCTTCAGTTTGACGCGGCCGTACATTAGGCAAATCGCAACACCCCACTGGTCGCTGAGGCACAGTTATGGCTTCTAATTCTTGTTGTCAAATTACACTATAGGACTTTAAATTCAAGGGGACAGGTATCAGATAAGGGATGTGAACCCAAAACCATCACAATGGAATTTAGACAATTGAACCCTTGCCAGATCCATGGCAAAAAAAGTCATATCACTAAGTAAAACCTCCAGCCTGAAGACCGCTGAACCCTTCCCACATCCACGGCAAAAATGTCACATTACCAAGTAAAACCTCCAGCCTGAAGACCGCTAAACCCTTGCCACATCCACGGCAAAAATGTCACATTACCAAGTAAAACCTCCAGCTTGAAGACCGCTGAACCCTTGCCACATCCACGGCAAAAATGTCACATTACCAAGTAAAACCTCCAGCCTGAAGACCGCTGAACCCTTGCCACATCCACGGCAAAAATGTCACATTACCAAGTAAAACCTCCAGCCTGACAACTGCTGAACCCTTACCACATCCATGGCAAAAAAGTCACATTACCAAAGTAAAACCTCCAGCCTGACAACTGCTGAACCCTTACCACATCCATGGCAAAAAAGTCACATTACCAAAGTAAAACCTCCAGCCTGACAACTGCTGAACCCTTACCACATCCATGGCAAAAATGTCACATTACCAAAGTAAAACCTCCAGCCTGACAACTGCTGAACCCTTGCCACATCCAGGGTAAAAATGTCACATTACCAAGTAAAACCTCCAGCCTGAAGACTGCTAAACCCTTGCCACATCCACGGCAAAAATGTCACATTACCAAGTAAAACCTCCAGCCTGAAGACTGCTAAACCCTTGCCACATCCACGGCAAAAATGTCACATTACCAAGTAAAACCTCCAGCCTGAAGACTGCTGAACCCTTGCCACATCTACGGCAACAATGTCACATTACAAAGTAAAATCTCCAGCCTGAAGACTGCTGAACCCTTGCCACATCCATGGCAAAGAAAATCACACTACCAAGTACAATCTCCAGCCTGAAGAACCGAAAAACAAGGCTCAGCTCTCAGAAATGTACATCAACCTGCAAACTTCCTCATCACAAAACAAAGAAAAGGTTAGGCAGCAAGACTGGAGAGATACCTTTACAAGAGTTTAGGCATTATACGGACATGTTACACTACAGTAGTGGAGTTGGAACCCTAGACACTTGGACCGATGGTCCAGATGAATCCCAACTTACCTTGACACCCAAGTGTTGGTGGTGAGGTTGAACGACCTGATATACTCTGCCGTGTGCGTGGACGTCTCAAGCTTCCATGGCTTGACGCTGGCACAGGCATCCCACACTGCATTGCCCTTCTCGTCCTTTCCATTGTAAGCCAGGCCACTCATGATGCAGGCCCCCTCCTTGACATAAAAAGAAAACCTTTTGTTCCG